CTTTTACATATTTCAGTAAAACTGCATATAAATATAGTAAGTAATTTCAATTTAAAACCCAAAAGGTGAATTCAATTACTCTCTTAATACAGATCAAATTTAGAATTAAGTCTAACTGAATATCCCCAATCCTCTCAAATATCACACATCACATTTTTGAAATACTAAATATGCCTAAATTTCTTATAATTAATAGGTTCAAGTACCCATACATTTCTATGTTTAAATCTAAATATTCTGGGGATAAAAATATGCTTTTCACAAAGGAAATGTAGCTATCATCAAAAGAGTCTTCAAGGATACTATCTTAGATGTTTGGAATTCGCACAGTTACCTGAGATACTGACCAGAGATACTCACCTCTGTGCCCGTGATGCCCTATTGTAGGCCCTATATCAAACCACTAAATGGTTGTGGAGATCTTAAAATCCATGTAGATCACATGTTTGAATTTGGATTTTTCCTAATTCTTCTTTTCATAAGACTCTTCAACCCCATTCAGATGGTTATATCACTAAAATTAATTTTCTTTGTTTCTTATGCTATTTAAAATATCTTCTTACACATATGTCAAATAGCTGTGATCCTGATAAAAACCTACACCTTCCTCATGTTTTTCCTATTTGTTTGGAACAGATGCCTTTATGGATCTAGATAAGTCTTAGAGCTGTACAGTGTCCCAAGGTCCCAGTGACAGAGAGCAGGCAGGGTGGGAGGAGGGAGAGAAAGACAGAAAGATGGTGGGTCAGGGGTACAGAGAAAGAGAACTGATTACTGTCTTGGTAACTTTGAGAAGACTGAAAAACTTACCTCTGATTACTTATGTGAGTAATTGAGATAGATTTGTTGTTTTAAGTTTATTTATTTATTTTGAGAGAGAGGGAGAGAGAGAGAGAGAGAGAGAGTAAGCAAGGGAGGGGCAGAGAGAGAGAATCCCAAGCAGGCTACACATTCAGTGCAGAGCGCAACAAGGGGCTCCAACTCACAAACCGCAAGATCATGTCCTGAGCTGAAATCAAGTGTCAGTCGCTTAACTGAAACTGACTGAGCCACCTGGGCACCTCAGCTGAGATAGATTTAAAATCAACTGTGTCTGATTTTAAATCCATGACTGTGAAGAGACAAACTTGGCATATTTGTATGTGGGAATGTTTGTGTCTTTTCAAAATTTTTAAATTTTGTTATTTTTAATTAGGTAAATATCCTAAATTAATCTAAGAATCAGCATTTTGGAAGACACATCTTTGCTAATTTGTTGTTTTGGTTATAACGTGGGCCTTTTTAGCATCCTTTAGTTTTTAGAATGGCCATCTAGTTTGTTTTCAAAATGGTGGAGACAACATTTAATATGAAATCTACCCTTTTAACAGATTATGTATGTATGTATTTTGCTTTTTGTTTTTATTTTTTATTTTTAATGCCAGTGTAATTAACATACAGCATTATATTAGTTTCAGGTGTACAGTATAGTGATTCAACAATTTCATACATCACTCAGTGCTCAAAATGATATATGTACTCTTAATCCCCTACATCACCTACTTCACCCATCCCCCAATAACATTCCCTCTGGTAACCACCAGCTTGTTTCCTATAATTAAGTCTGGGTTTTTTTGTCTGTTCGTTTGCCTCCTTTTTTGAAAAGTATTCCTTTTTAAATGTTTATTTATTTTTGAGAGAGAGAGGAAAGGACAGAGAGAGAGAGAGAATCCCATCCAGGCTCCACACTGTCAGTGCAGAGCCTGATGCAGGGCTCGAACCCACAAACTGTGAGGTTGTGACCTGAGCTGAAACCAAGTGTCAGACTCAACTGACTGAGGCACCCAGGCACCCCTGTCTCCTTTTTTCTTTGCTCCTTTGTTTTGTTTCTTTTTTTTTTTTTTAATTTTTTTTTAATGTTTTTTTTATTTATTTCTAGGAGAGAGAGAGACAGCGTGAGCAGGGGAGGGTCAGAGAGAGAGGGAGTCACAGACTGAAACAGGCTCCAGGCTCTGAGCTGCCAGTCAGCACAGAGCCCGACGCGGGGCTCGAACCCACGAACCGCGAGATCATGACCTAAGCGAAAGTCGGACGCTTAACCGACTAAGCCACAAAGGCGCCCCGGCCTTTGTTTTGTTTCTTAAATTCCACATATGAGTGTGATCACATTGTATTCGTCTTTCTCTTAATGTTTTATTTATTTCTAGGAGAGAGAGAGAGAGCTGAGCAGGGGAGGGTCAAAGAGAGAGGGAGTCAGAGACTGAAACAGGCTCCAGGCTCTGAGCTGGCAGTCAGCACAGAGCCCGACGCGGGGCTCGAACCCACGAACCTCGAGATCATGACCTAAGCGAAAGTCGGACGCTTAACCGACTAAGCCACCCAGGTGTCCCTTGTATTTGTCTTTCTCTGACTGACTTATTTCACTAATCATTATACCCTGTAGATCTATCCATGTTGTTCCAAATGGCAAGATTTCATTCCTTTTTATGGCTGAGTAGTATCCCATTGTATATATATTCAACCTCTTCTTTATCCTTTCATTAGTCGATGGACACTTGCGTGGCCTCCATATCTTGGCCCCATTTTAACATATTTTTTAAGTGTGCAAAACAGTATTGTCGATACTGCACAATATTATCTATAGGTACAATTTTGTGTGCCATATACCTAGAACTTTTTCATCTTGCATAACTGAAATCTTATAGCCTTGATTAGCAACTTGCTGCCAACCACTGTTTTGTTCTTTGCTTCTTTGAGTTTGACTATTTTAGATATAAGTGGAAACATGCAGCATTTTTCCTTCTGTGACTGACTAGTTCACTTAGCACAATGTTCATCAATGTTGTCACCTATTGCAGGATTTCCTTCTTTTTTAAGGCTGAATAATATCCCACTATATGTATACACCACATTTTTTAACCCATTCATTGATTGGTGGACATTTAGGCTGTTTCCACATCCTGGCTACTGCAACTAGGACTACAATGAACACTGCAGTGCTACTATCTCTTTGGTATACTGCTTTCAATTTTTCTGGATGAATACCCAGAAGTGAGATTGCTGGATTATATGGTAGTTCTTTTTAAATTTTTGAGGAACCTCCAATACTATTTTCTATAGTGGCTGCAGCATTTTGCATTCCCACCAACAGTGCATAAGAGTTCCAATTATTTAAAGCAAAAGGAAGATTTTACTTTAAGTTTCTAGTTTGATATAAACAATGTAGTATCTCTCCATTCCTTATTCCTCCTCTCTCTCAATAATATTGCATTTTAATTGGATTTTTGGTTTCCTGTCCCTCATATTCTGTCAAAAATGTTGAAGATCTTTCTTTAGACACACGCTAACTCAATTCAGTTCAGTTTAGGTCTTAATACATGTCTCTTATAATTCCCATCATAGACCTTCAAAACTGCAACCTTTGCCAAAATTTTTACCAGTCAGCTTCATTCTTACCTTTAAGTTCCAAATGATTTTCAATAAGTTTTCACTTTACTCCATTCAAATCACACTTACCTTGATTCTTATCACATAGGAATCCCTGACATTATCTGGTTATTCTGCTATGAATGAAATAAAACAGACCTTTCTACTTCATGTGTCTGGAAGAAGCTTTCTCCTTGTTCAAGTTCTTTAAGGGCCACTCCTTCTTAAAAGTTTATTCATGACAAAAGTTGTGGTGCTACTTTCCAGAACAAATTTCAGCTTGAGTGCAAAATATTAAATTTTTCTTTTAAAAAGTTTATGTATTTATTTTGAGAGAATGTGTGCATGAGAGAGAGAGAGAGAGAGGGAAAGGGAAAGGGAGGGAGAGAGAGAGAGGGAGGAAGAGAGAGTGAGGGAGGGAGAGGAAGGGAGGGAGAGGGTGAGAGAGAATACCAAGAAGGCTCTGCACAGTCAGCACAGAGTCCAAGGCTGGGCTTGATCTCACAAACTATGAGACTATGACCTGAGCTGAAATCAAGAGTCTGACACTTAACCCACTGAGCCACCCAGGCACCCCTCAATATATTAAATTCCTATGTGAATCATACACATATAGTAATCTTTGATATGCTTGGAATAAAAATTGCATTTTCACATCTATTCTTTAAAGCTACTAAAAACAGTAAAGGATATAATTTATGTATTGATATGCAAATCTTCATGACTGAATAAAACAAATTTAAAAATTATATATATACATATTTATAAATTCTTACCAAACAAAAAGGGAAAAAAGCAGAATACCCCATAGAAGAAAAGGGCTTCTTATTTTTAAAGAAAAACCACATCCGTAATATTTAAGTAAAATGCAGGGGGGGTTTCTGTTAATTTTATTACTAATAAAGCTTGCTTAGTGTTTAAGGAAATGCACATAGCAGTATAGGAAATAAGAAACTCAAGTACATCTTTTACCCTCCTCTCTCCCTTCCCTCACTGTTACCACCCTCCTGAGGTAAATACTGTAAACATTTCGGTCCTAACCTTACCCTGACATTTTTCTTTTTTTTTTAATTTTCTTTTTTATTTATTTCTAGGAGAGAGAGAGAGACACAGCGTGAGCAGGGGAGGGTCAGAGAGAGAGTCACAGACTCTGAAACAGGCTCCAGGCTCTGAGCTGGCAGTCAGCACAGAGCCCGAAGCGGGGCTCGAACCCACGAACCGCGAGATCATGACCTAAGCGAAAGTCGGACGCTTAACCGACTAAGCCACCCGGGCGCCCCACCCTGACATTTTTCTACGCATACACACAAAATACTTTAAGAAATACAAAATGAGACAATGCTCTGCCTTTACCTTTTTAAGGAAGGTTTTAATTACTGTCTAAAGGCATGCAGAAAAGTTCACAAATCATAAATGCACAGTTCAGGATGCTGAACTGCGGGTGTTGGCACTTTGCAGAAACCCAGGGAGCGGATTGGCTCAGAGTGAGCGAGCTGTAGGGCGGAGACACCGGAGCCCCGGGCAGAGGGAGCCTGCGGAGCGGGGCGATCGCTCGCCGGCCCGAGGCCTCCTCCGTCCCGCCGCCAGGCTGCAGCGGCACCTGCCCAGAGGCGCGGGTCCCGCAAGGCCCCGCCGTCCGCGCCGAGATGTGGAATCCCCTGCACGAAGCCGACTCGACCTTTGCGGCGTGGCGCCGCCCGCGCTGGCCGTGCGTCGCGGCGCTGGCGCTGGCCGCCGGCCTCTTGATCGCCGGCTTCCTCCTCGGTACGGGCGGGCTGGACTCGCGCGCGGAGCCTGCGGCGCAGTCCCGCGGTTCCCGGGGCTCGCGGGCCGCCGGCCGAGCGCGGTCCTGCGGCGGGTTTCCCCCCGGCGGTGCGCGCGCGGAAGGTGGGGCCGCTGGGGTGGGTTCCGGACAGTCACCCCGGATTAGGAGTGGAACGCAGAGCCCCCGAAACTTGACTTCAGCAGGTCCCACCCGCTCGAAAAATGGGAACATCTGGGTCGAGCGGCACGTCTGCGGGGAGCAGTTGAACCAGGTCGTCCAGGGAGCTTTGCAGGAAAGGACTCTGAACCTGTGTTGCCTGGACTGTTTCATGTATACAGTAGGTAGACGTCAGGGCGTTGCTGCACGGGGCTCCTTTCTCTCCTCAGACTTTCGTCCTTTCGTGTTACATAATTCGAGGAACACTTGAGAACTGGCTCTTACTGCCCGCGCTCTGAACAGATCTTTGCCTGTAGGTCTTCTGCGTTGTTCTCTGGAAAGTGATTCGCAGTCTTAACTTCCTTAAAAACTAGGGGCAGCCCAGACCAGCTCAGACTCTTAAATTTTCATTTTGACTGTTACTTCTTCGTGGCTTTGAACAATTTACCGAGTCTCTCTTAGCCTCCGTTTTCCAATCTTTATGATGAGGAGAATATCTGAAATTTATTCAGAATAGCAAATAATACAGCACCTGAAACCTCTAGCATAGTATTGGGGTGTTGGCACTTTGTTCCTTCTTGGTGAGGAGATGCTTCTCATTGGGCGTTGGTGCACAGGTCTAGCCTAATGTAGTTCACTCCTGCTCTGACTTCTAGATTCTCCTTCTGGGACTCAGAAGACCAGGCATAGACCAGCTACCTTGACTCAACCCAGTACTCTTTTTGGCTTGCTGTGTGACCTTTGGGGTGACTAAGAGACCTCTGAGCTGCACTCTGCTTATAACTAATGTATGGATGATGTAGGGATGTTAGTAGCCGTCCGGGGTTGTTGTGGGGTTTGCATGATATAGGTGTTCAATAATTAGGAGACTGTTCAAATTTAGTTTCAATCGTCTCGGCTGTAAAAATGGGAAATAGACTTGGTAAAGCTGGCACAGGGATTAAAATCTACGTCTCACGATGGCAATCTTATTCTTCCTAGTGTTGCCCACGACCCCTCCTTGTACACTGCTCAGTGGCTGACACAGAATAGGTTCTTTTTAAAAAAATTTTTTAACATTTATTCATTTTTGAGAGACAGAATGTGAGCGAGGGAGGGGCAGAGAGAGAGGGGGAGACGATCTGAAAGCAGGCTCCTGGCTCTGAGCTGTCAGCACAGAGCCCCATGTGGGGCTCAACTCAGGAAGTGTGAGATCATGACCTGAGCCAAAGTTGGACACATAACTAATTGACTGAGCCACCCAGGAGGCCCCGGAATAGGTTCTTTATTAGAACTTGTTAATTTTTCCCCAAGATTCACTGTTCTCCACTCTCCCACAGGCCTCCTGCCTCTTTGTTTTGTTCATTTTTAGCTCTCGGTTCAAACACTTCAACTCATTTTATCCTCGATGAGGCCTTCCCTGATTCCACACTCTAACCCAAGTCCTTTTGTTTTATGTACCAATGGAATTAAATTTCCATTTGCTGCCAACCGTTCATTTCAATATGTATATATTGTGTGTGTTTGTATGTATATGATTTATAACTGGAAAGTTCCAGGAAAGCTGGATGGGTGATTTTGGTAGCCATTTTATGCCCATATCATATCATTTTTTTCCAAATAAACCCTGTAAAAGATGCCCCATTTCCACCAGGTTAAAAACCAGCTATAAGGGCTAATGGTCCTGCATGATGTGGCTACCCATGGTCTCTAACCTCTGTGTATATGCACTGGGCATCTTGCAAAGCCATTGGGTAAATTGTAGTTTCCTTGGAGCTTTCTGAAGTCAAATGTCTCCAGCCTGCTTCAACTGGAAGCACAGAATCTCAATACATTTTGTTTGGGTTTGAGAAACAAAACAAATGACAAGCCTGAGTTTCCTTCACTGAAACAATTTACGTTCTTGAAATAGATTCATAATTAATTCATTATAAACATTTACTAAAAGCTTGTTCTCAGTCAGCAGAGGAGCAGTTACTGGAGGTAGAAGCTTTCAGGAGAAAGTAGGTGGATCTTTTGACCTTAACCTTTAAGAGATCTTGTTTATGCCCCTTACTTGAAACATATTTAATTTTAGTGGTCCTTTTCTTATGAAACATTTTTTAAAGAATAACGGCAATACTCATCATTGAAATTATATTCAAAACTATGTTGCGACTGATCTATATTTTAAACATGTTTGCATGATTATTTTCCAGTGGAAGTGGGCAAGAGAAATTAAACATCAGAAGACTGGAGGTCATTGATAATTTGTGTTTTACATATGATATGAAAAATAGGTCCTGTCAATGAGTTCATGTCTCATTCCTATATTTGTATATATTTTACAGGATGGTTTATAAAATCCTCCAGTGAACCTACTAATGTTGTTCCACAGCATAACGTGAAGAAGGCGTTTTTGGATGAATTGAAAGCTGAGAACATCAAGAGGTTCTTATAGTAAGCATTTTGATAGTTTATATGGATAATTTGCTGAAAATTTATATTATTCTGTTTAGAAGTATTGATCCAATATTTCATATACAGGAGCTGACTTTTTTAAAAAGTTTTCTCTGTGGAAAACCTTGTATCATATTTCATCTAGAGAGATTATACTTTAAGCTAAACTGTATCACCAGAGCCATTTTTGGGGAGGAGCCAGCAAACTGTGAAGCACCAGTTCTTGTAGGCCAGTTGATCTCTGTCCCAACTACTCAGCTCTGCTCCTGTAGCAAGAAGAAGCCATTGAAAGAATATAAACAAATAGAATGTCAGTTTCAATAAAACTTTATTTATGGGCACTGTAATTTGAATGTCATATAATGGATAGGTCACAAAATATTTTTTTTTTTAATCTATTTAAAATGTAGTAACCATTTTTAGCTTGTGGAGTGTACAGAAACAAGGAAGTTAACTGAATCTGGTCAATGGAATATAGTGTGCTGACTCCTGTTTTAGAAGACATTATATTTTAGTCAAAAGACTACATTTGGATTTTGGACTCAGATATACTTGAGTTTAAATTCCATCTTTGCTCATTGACAGTAAAATCACTAGGAGTGAATACTTCTGAGCTCTCATTTCCACATCTATATAGTGGGGACCATGATATTGTTGTGACAAGAATGAATTAGAGAGCGTATATGTGACAGGATTTGCAAACTAGCTCCCTGGTTCCTGAAATAGTTATCTGTAGTGTGGAGCAAAAGATGTAAATGAGTACATTTAAAGAGTATTTGCAAAGCAACTAAAAATAAAACACTTTAGTGTAGGATGATTGTATATAATTGATTAGAATACTTAGCTTTTTCCAAGTAAAATACTTGAAGTCCCTATTAGTGATTGAAGGATTCCTTAGTGGATACAAGTTATAATTTTATATAAAGGGCAGTTATATATATACACATATATTTACATGCACACATAAAATAAGCATGAGTGTGCACACATAATCCAATAAACACATATGTCTATTTTTTTTTATTTTTATTTATTTTTTTTTACAAATAGTTTATTGTCAAATTAGTTTCCACATATGTCTATTTTAATTACAATAGAATTAAAGCTATGAATAAACATTTGCTAGGACACCTTCCAGATCTTTAGAAGGGCCATTTTAAGTGAGAGACCCTGAAGCTTAAATTTTGTGGAAATCCCTCCTCTGACTCTTGGACTCCCTTCGCTATAATTATGTATAATAGACAGGATAAAAGTGGAGGTCTGGAAAGATAGAGTCACTGTTCCTGGACCAGCTGCTGCCTCTGCTTCCTTCTTCCTTTCCTAACCTGTGACATAATCTGACCAGCAAAGAAGAAAAATGAATGCCTTAGTTTCTCTTTCTGGACCCTGAATAAAATGGAAGCAGTTGCCTATTTATTTGTCCATGACCCTGACAGAGCTCCTCTGTTTAGAACTCAAGGATTTTTTACCATTAGCACAAAAGAAAGAGATTAAGAGAACCCCAACTCATCCCTCCAAGGACCACACATTTACCAGAAACCTCCTGGACTCTCCAGATTTCCCTTTGCCATTCGACCATCAGAGGGTCATTGAAAGGTCAGATCTTGCATCTTATCCCCCTTTGCCCTGCTACTAAAGATCACTGCTTCCAGGTTCTCTGCCTCTCAGTAGTTGCTGAGAGGATTAAAAGTAGGGGGTGTTTTTTTTAAGTCTCCCTTGGGATGTACGGTTATCCCATTGCCCTTCTGTTTTGGAAACACCTGTTTGAGTTCTCTGATCTGTTCACTATTTTGCATCTCTTTAGGGAAGCCTTCAGTCCCTTCCCTGTTCTGAAAGGCAAGATTATTTTAGAAAATCGTTTTAGACCTCTGGCCTCAGAATTTCACTGACAACGCACTTGAGTACCAGTTCTACCTTTCACTAGCTGCCTTCAAATCATCTAGCTCCTGAGGGTACTGTACCACCATTTATAAACCAGATGCAATGCATTAAAACAGGAATACCAATAGCTCTCTTTATTAACTGAGATAATGTAATGATATGTGGGACTTTTCTAGCCAGGCAGAGATTTGTGAGCCCGTTTTTAAATACAAGCTGTTGGCTATTTGGGATAGTTTGTAAATTATTATTCTCTAAGAAAACTTGATATTTTAGTCAGATCAACAAATTATTTGCAACAATTTGATTAAAGAAAGAAAAATTAAGAGCTGCAGTTTAATATCAGTTACTTCATTGAGCCACAGATCTTTGGGAAGTAGTGAAGGAGCAATATTCTTCCCATATACAGATGAGAAAATGAAGATTTAGCCAGGATTACACAAGTTAGTAGCAAAACCTCAAATACACCACTTGTAGGATGGTGTATTTATCATTGGAAATGGATTTTTCCCCACTCTTCATTAGAATCTGCTTTGTTCCAAATAGTTTCTGGCCCTGATTGTAGCACAGTGTAGTATCCTAGTTGGTAATGACAAAACTGTTCCGAGGAATTTCACTCATAATAGCCAGGTCTGATAATAATCCATCTTCCTCACTCCCTCCCTCTTTCCTAATGGTGGGGAGAGCAGGTTCAAGACTCCCCATTGGCAACTGTTTTTTCTTTAAAAAAAATTTTTTTTGTGGAAACTCTGCCCTGCAACATGTGGCTCAGACTCACAATGCCAATATCAAGAGTCACATGCTTTACCAGTGGAGGCAGCCAAGCACCCCATCTCTTACATGTAGGGACAGAGTTATCACTGTGACTTCAGGAAATATGCATAATCTGCATCCACCTACTTATGTTACAGTTTGTGTAATATAGAAAAAATAGCAACATGTTAGCTCTTTCTCTCTTTTCTCTGCAGGCATACATTGAGGAGATATATAGATACCTCAGCTACCTCTTAAAATTGTGTTCTTTTTGTTACTACATTTTGCAAAGACACATTAGAAACTTTGTTGTAAGGGAGCAAGATTGTCCTATGCCCTTCAAGGTCCTTCTAGCAGGACTAAGAATCAAATTGACACAAACAGATTAATAGGAGAAAATCAAATTTAATAGCATATGTATGGAGAATCCACAGAGACACAGAAATTCCAAAGACGGACAAAAGGAGTATACATGTCATCCTGAACCAAGAAGTGGGCAGGGGTCTGAGACTTCAGGTGAAAGGAATGTGCTTCACAGGGTGATGAGAAGAGCAGGTGTTTGGTAATAGCTGTATTCCCTGTCTATACAGAGGGATCACTCAGATAAAACTTTCTCTGCTAGTAACCCTTATTTGGGGAAAGACCACCAGTTTCCGTTCTTTGTTTCTTTGGAACCTGTAGGGTCTTGACTGCCTTTGGCTCAGAACAATCTTCATGCCAAAGTGGCCCACCTTGGGGCAGCCCACCATTGGCCCCTATGGTTTTAAGCCCTTAAACATTTTTGGGATAAAGATTTTGATACTATCTTTGTAAATACAACTTAAATTAACAGAATTATAAAAATTAACAAAAACTCTATTTTTTAAACACTGAAAGTTATTTCTGGCAGTTGATTTTCCTAGTCAAAAATTCAGATACACAGGAAAAGTAAGCATTTGAAGGTGGAATCATCATAGCCATGTTGTCTATTTGTTTTGAGGTTTTTTAAAACTCCTTATAAGGATGGACATGTGTTAATTTTAGGAAGACCTACATATTCAGAATCAGAAGTTCATGATCTAGAAATAAATGTCTTTTTATGATACATGAGGCATTGTCATATGGATTTTGTTTTCTTTAAGTGGTTTAAGATGAAAATACCAATGAGCTGAATTTTCAGGGAAGCAGCAGATTTCCACGAGAGAGAAATTTAAACAGACAAAAGGCACCAGTATCTAGACATATTAAAGGAGAAATTAGTAAACTGATGACAGTATTTTTGGTGGCTAAGATTCCTGCACAGTTTATTAATTAATGATATTCCTGGTCAGACTAATTATCATCATTGATTTTTAAGGGTATCACTATGCCTGATGAATGAAGTATAAGAGATTCAGTCTGAGCTTGTGTGTAAATATGTTTAGATTATTCCTTAATGAAGACACTTTATATAGGTTGGTAATCAGAAGGTCTCTCACTTGGCTATAACTTTCAGTATTAAAAAATAAATGTGATTATCAGTCATTCCTGGCACATGACAGTTTGGTGTTTTGTATGAAAAGAATTTTCACTTCCCAAATACACTTTACACAGTGAAATAAAAAATAATTCCATGGAAGTTCCATGAGTGTTAAGTAACAAATATGATACTTTCCTAATCTACTGTATGGGAACTCATCCAAAGGATCGCACATAACAATTCTCTACAAAGATCAGTTTCTCCAGTTTTTCTTGAATGAATACAAATTACAGCATCAAAACTTCAAAATACACTTTGAAAATCTATTTGATGGAATAATAGCACCACTTTGATTTTTTAATGTATCACATTTCAAAGCAATTTTTAGATGTAAATCTGCCTTACTTGGTTGTTCATTTGGGATACCAGCTGACTAAACATTAATTTCTAACCACTTTCAATTTTTCTTCACCAGTAATTTTACACGGATGCCACATTTAGCAGGAACAGAACAAAATTTTCAGCTTGCAAAGCAAATTCAATCCCAGTGGAAAGAATTTGGCCTGGACTCTGTTGAGTTAGCCCATTATGATGTCCTGTTGTCCTATCCAAATAAGACTCATCCCAACTACATCTCAATAATTGATGAAGACGGAAATGAGGTAAAAAAAAAAAAAAAAAAAAGGAAAGAGGGAGAGATAAGAAACTACCCTCATCACCATTCTTTTCAAATACCTTTTATAAAAGAATAGCACTATACCATCTCTAATTATTGATAGAAATTAATATTGAAATTTGTGAATGTTTTTAATAGCTCATTACCAGTGTCAGCTATTTCCTATGATGCTTGAATTTAATGTGATATTGGAAAAATTATGAGAAATTAATGCTTGATGACAGTTGTATTTTCTGGTTTCTAGTATTGCCTACCAATATACAATATGATATATTAGTACTTCCAAGCAACTAAAACAAACACATTATTGATAGGCTCAGAGTGTAAAAGAAGTAAGTTTGGGAATGTCAGGAAACTCAGGACACCCTGTGTGCAGTATGTCATCAGGTTTTTATTGGTACTTAATGATATGTCTCCTACGATCAGCTCTGTGCTCAGAAATTGGATGTGACATTTGAAGAAGTGAGTTTGGATGGCAAGTCTGTAGAATGATATCTAAAGAATGTACAATCTTGTTTGCAAGTTAGGGTACATACTTGATAAAGAAAAGAGAATAGAAGTAATTGAGATATTTCTTATCATGATGTATATTCAATATGAAAGCTCAAAATAAACCTCATACATTTAATCCTATTTAGCATACCTTAGTTTTAAAGCTACTATATCTTAACTAAAATAGTCCCTTTTTATCTAAATAGTTTCCTTCAGCCCTTTTGTTAGCTGGGCCTTCTAAATGTGTCCAACTTAATCAGTAAACTGAAAATGTCATGTGATTTAAATATATATAGATTAAAAATTTTTTTCATAACATGTCAGTTACCTTCTATCAACTAATGAATCAGTCTTTTAGTGGCTAATATGCTGTTAGGTTTTGTAGTCAGTCACATAATCCCATGCTAAATATCCTAGTATGATTTGAAACATTCCATTAGCTACTATTTCAAATTATACTAGTTAATGGTTTATCTTTTTAAAATGTTAATCTATCTCAAAATTTAAAAAGTATTTTTTGAAAAAGTTTTGTAGAATATCAGTATACAGTATATGGTCCCATACATTTGTTAAATAAGTGGTGTCATATCTATATAGTCGAGTACTAAGCAGCCTATAAAAGTATATTTAGGAAAATTGTTCAATGATGAAATAAAATATTGATTATGTTAAAAATATAAACAAATACTTAAGCCTCTGTCTCGATCTGTCAGATTTGGGGATTATCTATATACAACGAGGAAAATAGCTAACTTGCCATTCTTTATTCCTTCTTTGCTTCCATTTTATTATTTGTTTTTGCTATTATAAGCATTTGTTAAATTCTTCAAGCCTGTCACAGAATATAAAGGTATCATGTAGAAATTTCATTTCAGAGTTTCTTTTTTTTTTTTCTTTTTTTAATAGGGGATTTTTTTTTTAATGTTTTGTTTATTTCTAGGAGAGAGAGAGACAGCGTGAGCAGGGGAGGGTCAGAGAGAGAGGGAGTCACAGACTGCGAAACAAGCTCCAGGCTCTGAGCTGGCAGTCAGCACAGAGCCCGACGCGGGGCTCGAACCCACGAACCGCGAGATCATGACCCAAGCGAAAGTCGGACGCTTAACCGACTAAGCCACCCAGGCGCCCCTCATTTCAGAGTTTCTTGAATGGTGTCTGCTCTCTCGTTTGGGTTCCTAGAGCAATTTCTACTGGGAAATTTTCCCCACGCATTCAATAAGCAATTCTCGGACACCAGTTGGCTGTTCTATAATTCAACTCAATTCTGACACTTTACCTGGAGTAGTGTCAGATTCCATAGATAGGAATTCAGTCTTCTAAAAATGTCCCCTCCCCCACTCATTCAGGATGCTAGTTGCAAGCTCAGGTTGTTACCTGTGTTTCTGACCTACCTACTGGCTATAGACGGGAAGTTCCAAAGCCTCCCTCCAACTCAGGATGCCAGTTGTAAGCAGGTTGTTACCTGTGCTTCTGACAGATTGGCAGAAATCAAAGGTTCCCATGATCCCCTCCTCAGGTTTGATTAATTTGCTAGAGCGAATCAACATTTATAAAAAACATTTTACATTCTAGATTATTGATACGAATCAATAGCCAGATGAAGAGATGCTTAGGGCAAAGTACGTGGGAAAGGCACACAGCTTTTGTTGCCGCTTCTAGGGGTGCCAGTCTCCCCACAGTCCCATGTGTTCACCAGCCCAGAAGTTCTCTGAACCCTGTCCTTTGAGTTTTTACGAGGGCTTCATTACATAGGTATAGTGATTAAATCTTGGCTATTGGTGGTTGATTCAAAATCCAGGTCCTCTCCCTTCCCTGGTGGGAGGTGGGCAGTGGGACTGAAAGTTCCAACTCTAACCACAAAGTTGGTTCTCCTGGCCATTAGTCCTCATCCTTAGGGGGTCAAAAAGCACTGGGTGTTATATGGAAACCAACTTGACAATAAACTATTAAAAAAAAAGTTACTTCGTTAACATAACAATAGACACTTTTGTTGCCCTCAGGAAATTCCTTTTAGGAGGTTTTAGGATCTCAGTCCAGAAAAGGAATGAAGATTAAATATGTATTTATTGTAAATCACAATATCGTACTGCCTAGAGCTTCCTAATTTTTTAAAAACTACATCATTAATTCATTTTCCTTTTTATTTTCATCCAAAGTATACCTGAACAAAGAGTCACATACTTCTCCAAAGTGCCTTGCTTCCTCCCTATTTCCCTTTCCTTAGGCAATCGCTATTCAACTGTTGACACAAAATAAACAAACCTTTTAAAAACTTTATCGTTTTATGTGAGCCCAAGTAAAGACTGCTGCACAGGATACACAATCTTCCCAAAAGCTAATGGAGCATTAGGGGAAAAAAAGAAGAGTAAAAATCACATACTAAGAAGGTAGAAATGACTTAAATGCTGTAGATCAGTAATTAGAAAACATTTAAAGGAAAAAACTGGTTAAAAACATAGTATGTCAGACTAATTGTACACTAATCAGCTGTGTACTATTTTATAAGGAGTGACTTGAACGTAACATCACAGCAAGTTTGAAAGTAACAAAACTGAAAAAGAAATACCAAGCAAATACTGACTTTAAAAAATTGTCTTCTAGTCAATTTTAGGGCAAGTCAAAAACCTTTTTAAGAGACACATAAGTGTTTCAATTCGGTTTTATCTGTTAAGGAAAAAGATACAACAGGCCCAAAATGGAGTTAATTGTACTAAGCCCCACTTCAGCAAACCAAGATTTAATACCTAACCTAATGCAGTTTCAGCCGCTCTCAGGAATGTAACCTTTAACTAGTCAATTTGAAAAAACCTGGTCAGCACTAATGAGGTAATCCACCTGATTGAACCCTTTTGTTCCCCAAAGGACAAGGTCAATAAGGAAAAATACAGGGAATGTATAAGTAAATAGTATAAGGAGTAAAAAAGTGAGGCCTATCTCTAGATGTAGCATGAATTCAAAAATATTTTTAAAATACTAGGAAAAAGCATGCCAATAATTTCATAGCTGAGATGGAATGGGAAAAAACATGAAAATTGACATAAGAATGTACTTTTTAAAATCCAGAGACTTTTATAACATTAAAGAAATTAAATCTGTACTTCAAAAATTTCTGCAACTCAAAAGCATCAAGACCAACTGGTATTCCTTTAAGTTTGAAAGATTAAAGAAAAAGATCATTTTTGTAAAGATCATTTAAATATGGTATAACACAACTTATTTCAGAAAATATTAAAAATTCAACTCATTTTTAAGGTAAGTATAATCTAGAAATTAAAACCCAACAAGGACATTGCAAAAATACAGGCCAAATGTGTAATAAATATGTATAAGAATAATATAATTATCATTATGAAAAAGAAAAACTTTCATACTCATCTCGAAAGACATTCATGACAAAAACTCTTAGTAAACTTGGAAAAGAAGTTAGTTGACATTACCTGATAAAGGTTAGAGCAACTATCAAAATTAATGGCGAGATACTGAAAACATTCTCTTCAAGTTCAGCCTATCTGTCACCACTTTTCAATATTGTATTTAAGGTCCTGGCTAGTGCGGTGGAACAAAGGGGAATGGGAGACCTGACGTGAACCTGGGCTGATAGTGCCTTATACCAACTAGAGCACCAAACACCTGCCTCTCCTCAGGCAGGCAGAATCTAAAGTGAAGCCAAATCAACCACTACCCTCCAGAAATCCCCACATCTCAAAACAGCCCATAATTTCTCTGTGATCCACATAGGATACAAACTCTTCTGAATCATTGGGCAAGCTCAGAAAAGAAACTTTAGTATGCAGTACAGGTACAAATCCATGTTGAAACAGTCATTAATTACATCAGCAAGTCTTTCAGCCAACAGAGTGTTCAAGTTATTCTCACTCAATTTGCCTTTATGAATCTTCAGTTTTACAGCACACTGAACAAGTGGATTTTAGAGCATGTTTATGAGTTATTCTAACAAGAGGAGACATTTTTTTAAGGGCAAGGGAGTAACTTTTTTGGGTGACTATCAAAAGTAGACTATATACCAGAGAGCATTGCTCTCCTTCCAAAATACACTAATATAGCTTCAAATTATGTATTATGAATATAACCAAAATAATTTTGGTACACAAACCTTTATTTACCTTCTGTGACATAAAAAAGGCAGTATATTGGGATGCCTGGGTGGTTTAGTCAGTTGAGTTTCTGACTTCAGCTCAGGTCATGATCTTATAGTTTGTGAGTTTGAGCCCAGCATTGGGCTCTGTGCAGACAACTTGCTCAGAGCCTGGAGCCTGCTTCGGATTCTGTGTCTCCTCTCTCTGACCCTCCCCTGATCACACTCTGTCTCTCTCTGTCCCTCAATAATAAATAAATGTAAAAGAAATTTTTTAAGGCAGTATATAGTTCAATCTATATCATATGTTATCTCTACATAAACAAAGATAAAATAACGTGTCTATATTTAAAACATTTCTGGTAGAATCCATAGAACACTAGTCTTCTATGTTGCCTGTGGAAGGAGGAACTTGTGTGTGTTGTGCGGGAGAACAAAAGTTGACAGTTTACCACTGAGCTCTGCTCTGAATAGTGACAATAATTAAGCTACACTGGGAGATGGTGATAATTCGAAACCATTTGCAGGTGGGACAGAATGATGAAAACAGAGCTGAGCTGCCCAATGTCAATAGAGAATACCTCAATCTGAAACACAGGCACTATAAGCATGTGATTTAAAGAAATACAGGTAAATATTTTTAAAAAATCAACTCCTGGTGGTGATAAAGGGAATTTTCAGCCCTTCATGTTTGTAGGCCCTGCCCCTCGGCTCCCAGGGAAGCTATACTTCAATATTTATGAAGATCAAAATGACTTGGCAAAACCTTAAAGTATGGGCTTTATTTCTGCCCCAACCACATACCGTGTATCTGCTTCGATAAAAAAACAAACAAGCAAATAAATAAATAACCAAAGAGAAGCATTCCAAACATAAGGATAAGAAAAAGAAAGAAACCTCTTGGTTCCCACAAGATTAAAACTATACAGACTTGCACGTACTAAAAACATCAGATAAAATCTGTAACTTTCTGGAATGTAGTAGGTCATGATGATTTCTAACACTTTTTCCCCTTCCTTTTTTTTTTTTTTTTGTCTTAGATGCCTGATCTTATTAGTTTTATATTTTAGTAGTTTGGAAACTAAAACATCTGATCCCTACTTAACAATGTAATTCAATCAATATTTCTACAATACAAACATCTTAGAATACTTTCACTTTGGTCATACACTATCAATTTACACTCATAATTCTAATTCAATCTTGTTCTTGTCAACTTGAACAGTTCTTTTTTTTTTTTATGTTTTATTTATTTCTGAGACAGACAAACAGCGTGAGTGGGGGAGGGTCAGAGAGAGAGGGAGATACAAATCCGAAACAGGCTCCAGACTCTGAGCTAGCTGTCAGCACAGAGCCTGACGTAGGGCTCGAACCCACGAACTGTGAGATCATGACCTGAGCCGAAGTCGGACACTTAACCAACTAAGCCACCCAGATGCCCCCAACTTGAACAGTTCTTGCTTTTATTATTACATACAGTCCATATTTATTCATTTTTTCCATATATTTGCAATACCTTGCTTACCAATCCTTCTTGAATCATCTTAAGAGCTTCTTTTAAATTTTTTAATGTTTTTTTATTTTTGAGAGAGAGACACGGAGTGCAAGTGGGCGAGGGTCAGAGAAAGGAAGACAATCTGAAGCAGGCCCCAGGCTCTGAGCTGTCAGCACAGAACACGATGACATGGGGCTCTAACTCACAAACTCTGAGACCATGACCTGAGCTCAAGTCAGATACTTAATGGACTGAGCCACCCAGGCGCGCATAAGAGTTTCTTTTAGAGGCTTTGTTTTGTTGAATGAATATCCTTTGGAAGTTTTCTTTGTTTTCAGCATCTGTTGGCTCCAAACTGTTAATTTTTGGTAGAAAACATGTCTTTCATTTCATTTCATCAGGAAGGATGTTTCAAGCATTATCCATTACATTATTGAGATATCAGCTGCCAATCTAATTTTTATTCAGTTTGGGTATCTTGTGTAATCTCTCTTTTCCAACTTTTAACATCAAGCACTATATCAAATATTACAATTTACCTATGATGGGTCTGGATATAGATTATTTTTTAATTAGGTTGGTCAGGATTCATTGGACAGCGTGAATCCTAGAGTTCATAATTTTTATCAGCTTGGAAAATTCTTAGTCATTATACAGTCAAATTTAGCTTCTTCACATTCTTTCTATTCTCTTCTTTTACAAGCCCTCATATATACATCCAACAGGTTTATCTCTAGGGTAACCTTAATCCTGAAGGATACTGTATTTTGGAGACTCAGCTTTATGCAGGGGTCTCTTGTAAGACTTCATTATTTGGCCCATCTCGAGACTTTCTGTAAACATCCTGTGCCCCTCTTTTGGGGTCCCAGGCTCCATTAGATCCAACCTTAGTGTAACCTCTCAGGATTCCTGCTTTCATGCCACTTTTTTGGCTTCTGAGTATTCCTAACCTTTTTTACGCCCAATTCAATGATACACTTAAAATATAATAATTTGTATTTAGTTCAGTGCTTTTAGTTCTTTTCAAGTGTGAATATTGTTCATTGTGTCTAGATACTATTAGATATGGATCTTTTCAAAATGTGTTTTTTGTATTGAGGTGAATTTAGTATTTAATTTGTTGCTCAATAATTATCTTAACATTGTTATAAGGGACTAAATTTATAATACAATGTTGCTTTTTATTTGGGTGGTAACATTTTCCTCCTAAGTCAAAACCTGGCACGTTATAGGTCCTCTCTGGGTTATTCTTCTCATGAGATTCTCAAAGCTTCTAGCACAGTGCTGGATGTTTGATATGTATTTGCATAATACTGAAGGATTGATTAACCCTGTACTGAAAAAGAAGAATACATGCATTTTTTTTCTTGTGTTTGACTTGTAGTAATCAAACTTTACCTGATTTACTTTTAATCACTGTATTTTGTTTTTCTAGATTTTTAACACGTCGTTATTTGAACCACCTCCTCCAGGATATGAAAATGTTTCAAACATTGTGCCACCTTTTAATGCCTTCTCTCCGCAGGGAATGCCAGAGGTAAAGATGCAATACAATGAAATAAAAATAACAAACAGAGCCCCCTCATATATGCAGGCAATAATTAAACAGTTATAAGGAGATTTTTCATATAATCCAAATTTACCCCTTTTACAGTTAAGAAACTAGAATTTCTTTATAAGAAAGAGGACTATTTATTAGTTTGTTGACAACTTTTAAAGATAAAATGTACTACAGTGAGATACAGAAATCCAAAATGTACATTATTGTTTTTTGACAAAGGTATATACCTATGTAATCCAAGCCCCTTAGCACACAGAATATTACAGTCGCTTCAGAAAGTAACTTTATGCCCTTTCTCAATCGTTATTACACACACTCCCAGTCAATCGTTCAAGTTTTTGCCACCACTGCTTAGTTTTGCCTATTCTAAATATTCATCTAAATAGAATTACACAGCATATAATCATTTGTGCCCAATTTCTTTCACTAAGCATAAAGGCTATGAGATTCCTGTGTTTTAACATTTAACTCATTCTTTTTTATTGCCAAGTAATTTCCATTGTATGAAAATACTACATTAATTACTACTGCTGCATGGCAGTGATTAGTTTTCAAAGAATTTGAACAAGAGTATTGATGGCATTTTGAAATAAGGAGCCTGAAATTTAGAAAATTTTGTGTGGTCTACCCAATAAAGCAATGTGCCTAAATGTCATCTGAATTCTGCAGTCAATCCCAATTCTTGTGTGGTCCTTTGTTCTTTAGAAGGAAGCTAAGAAAGATAAATTTGAAAGAGTTGACTATAATTTATTAATATCTTTTTAAAAATTCTCTTTCCTATTATAATATTTGACAGGAAGTAGATTCAATTTTGGTTGTATTGGGTTGAGATGCCTGGGATATATGATATATTTACAAGAAGTTGCTAATTGACAGTTGGGTATATTGAAATATCACTCAATAGAAGGATAAGCATTGGCTATTACTGGAAACATCCTAAGTAAAAAATTTGCATTTAGAATTGGATATTTAAAAATCTGTCTTCACCAATCAATGAGGATTTGTTGCAAGAACATAAGGATGATTTTAATATCAGGCAACAGTGCCATATTTTTTAATAAGAGAGAAAAATACTATTTTATTTTCAAATGTATTGACTTCACTGGCTTACTTATAACTTAAAAACTTATACAAACTTTGAATCAAAGAATATTTTCTATTCTTTGAATAAAAAACTATTCAAATGAATAGTTTACATCTTACTTAATGGCATAATATTAGAAAAATTCTTCCTAAAATTTGGCACATAAATAGAATGCACACAATCATTTTATAGTTGACCTGAGATAGAAATGAGGCATTCAACAGTTGGAAACGAAGAGATAGTGTATTTTATTTTATTATTAATTTTTTTATTGTTTATTTGTCTTTGAGAGAGACAGAGTGCGAGGTGGGGAGGAGTAGAGAGAGAGAGGGAGACACAGAATCTAAAGCAGGTTCCAGGCTCTGAGCTAGCTGTCAGCACAGAGCCCAATGTGGGGCTCGAACCCACGAACTGTGAGACCATGACCTGAGTTGAAGTCAGACACTTAACCAACTGAGCCACCTAGGTGCCCTAAGATAGTATATTTTAGATCTCAGGTGCCCTGAAGTCACTTAGACTTGTTTCTTAGGTTAAGGTGCCTTACCATCATGGGCCCATGCATGATCCCTAATTTAATGTATTTTCTTTTCCTTTCATCTTCCCTATTCGCAATCTTATTCCTTCCCCCTCCCCCCAGTGTATTTGTGTCCTTGGCAATGTACATAGTATTCTTAAAAACACATGGCTTTATTTTGTGTTTGATGTATTTTAAATTTCCATAGGTAGCATTATACTTTAGGTCTTAACTTCATCTCTTACTATTTCCAGTCAATGTCCTTTAAAAAATCTATCCTGTTGCTTTATGTCAGGGTAGGTCATTATTGTTACTGTTGCCTGTCATTCCATGATATGTGCACACCATGTGTAACTTATCCATTCTCTTAGTAGCCAACACTGCTTTCCTCCTAAGTCCTCGTGATGATAGTGTTGCAGCAAGTAACCTCATATGTGCCCCTGTCTGGGCTTGCCAGGGTTTCTCTCTTTATGGTACAGCAGGTATGGGATTGCTGTTTTATAGGAGTATTTAATTTCCCAATGTCCAGAATATAGGAGTTTATTGCCTGCACTGGCATCCTTTTTTTTTTTTTAATATTTTCATCAACACTTGAAATTATATAACTTTATAATTTTTGCCTAAGTGTTTTATTTTAATTCATATTTCTCTGATTACCAATGAGGTTGCTCATCTCTATACATATTTATTTATTAGCTATTCTGGTTTTTATTCTGTGCAGTGACTAAATATAGACTAAGTATAGCTCTCTCCATTTTCTGTTGAATTTCCAGCCTTTTTCTTATTGAATTTAAGTGTTTCTTAAATTTTTCAATTATTTATTCCATATTGGTTTAAATATTATAAGTATCTTCTAATTTTTCATCTATTTCTTCATGCTATCTAAGCTGCTCTTTATTGAAAAGATACCTTTAGTTTTGATATTGTCCAATTGCTCTCCTTATGTTTTTACACTTTGGGTTTTCTTTACTAATTCTCCTCAATATTTACAGTGATGTATCTGTATAACCAGAATATACAGAAAATACTAACACATCATTATTTAAAAATATGGACAAATATTACATAATAATAGGAAGTAAGCAAAAAAATTTAATTTAAAATAGCCATAAAATATAAAATACACTTTAAAAGTCTTCAATGAGTTTGAAATAGTTTAAGAACACTGAAATTTATTGAACAATGAAAATACTATGTATAAAGAAACAGATTATGGGAGCACCTGGGTGGCTCAGTTGGTTAAACATTTGACTTTTGCTCAGGTCATGGTCTCACAATTCGTCAGTTCGAGCCCCACGGTGGGCTCTGTGCTGTCAGCTCAGAGCCTGGAGCCTGCTTCAGATTCTGTGTCTTCCTTTGCCCCTCCCTCATTCATACTCTCTCTCCTTCTCTCTCTCTAAAAAATAGATAAACTTAAAAAAAAGAAACAGATTATGTTTCTAGATAAAAAGAGTGTCATAAGGAGAAAATTATACCCATATTACTTTGTGGGCTTGCTGTATAATCAGTTAAAATCCCCAAATACTTTTTGGACTTTGACAGAATTAATTTGACAGGTCAAATAAAAATATAATCTAGAAGTGTCTGGGTGGCTCAGTCAGTTAAGCATCCAACTCTTGGTTTCAGCTCAGCTCATGATCTCTGGCCTTTCTGGGTTCGCGCTCCTTATCAGGCTCTCTGCTGGCCGTGCAGAACCTGCTGGAGATTCTCTCTCTCTGCCCTTCTCTCACTCCCACTGTCTCTGTCTCTCTCAAAATAAACTTTAAAAAAATATGTAATCTAATTTTTGGTTTTCAAACTTCAGCATGTATCACGATAATCTAGAAGGCTTGTAAAACACAGGTTCTAGTTCCCACCCCCCTGAGTTTTGTAGGTCTTCCTAGCTTGTTTCCAGTAAGACCCTAAGTCTTGATTCTGTAGGTTTAAGAACCACGCTTTGGGAGCCACTGGTCTTTCCTCCCAGTTCTGTTTCAACTAACAAGAACAGGAAGGTAGAAGCTTGAAGGAGACAGAAAATTCTAGGCTGACAATGCAAGATTGTATTTATTCCCAGTCATAGAACAATGGTACAGTGTAAACTTTACAAGAAGGTCATTGTCTGAAAACAAAGCTTTTTTCTAACAGTGACAACTTGCATTTGTGAAGTGCCTGGAGGACATATCTATCACACTTGTGTTTGTTTTCAAAATATCCAGTCATTTTTAAACTAATATCTTCTCCAATCCATCCTTCATCATAATTTGTTTTGTGAGGATTACAGATTTATCAAAAGATAGCCACAATTTATAGGCATTTAGGGAAGTAGTCTTCCCAAAGTTAGTGATATTAAATAGAGATGCATTTTAAGTAGGACACTGGCACTAAAACAAAATTCACTGAAATCAAATTGGTTAATGTCTCTATATTCACAGAATGAAAGCTAGCTCCAGAGAAGGCTAACAATTATAAATGAGACATATGGTGCTGTCATTACTGGTGCATTAATATTGCATTGTCTGAAGAAGAAATATAAGAGCTAAAAGTAATCCCTTCACTGGAGCAAAGATTCAAATGTCACCTTCTGAGTAGACTTTCCTATTTTTATTTAAAATTGCACCCACCCAAGTACTAGTTACTATTTGTCTATTCTGTTTAAACTTTGAAAACTTAATTTTGACAACGCTTATCACTTTTTAATATACTATATAATTTACTTAGTTTTCAATTTATTATTATCTTTCTGCTTTTCACATAAATGTAAGTTCCTCCAAGGGCAGGGATTTACTGTATCCCTAATTTTTTTAATGTTTTTTTTTTTTTTTGAGAGAGACAGAGTGTGAGTGGGGGAGGAACAGAGAGAGAGGGAGTCACAGAATCTGAAGCAGGCTTCAGGGGCTGAGCTTTCAGCATAGAGCCCAAAGCAAGGCTCAAACCCACGAACTGTGGGATCATGACCTGAGCCAAAGTCAGGCACTTAACCAACTGAGCCAAACCAGGCACCCCTCTTTTTAACTTTTTAAATTAATCTACTTATTTTCGAGAAAGATAGAGAGTAGGGGAGATAAAGAGAGAAAGGGAGAAAGAGAGAATCCCAAGCAGGCCCCAAACCACTAGTATTGCTAAGTGAAGGGCCCAAACCCTGGCTCAAACACAGGAACCATGAGACCATGACCTGAGCCAAAATCAAGTGTCAGTTGCTTAACCTACTGAGCCACCCAGGTGCCCCAACAAATGACCTTCTTAATACTCATCCCTCTTGTAGCCCATCTTACACCGATCTCTCTCCATCAACCCTCAGTTTGTTCTCTATGGTTAAGAGTTTCTTGTGGTTTATTTCCCTCTCTCCTTTTCCCCTCCTCCCCTACCTCTTCCCCTAGTCCTGGATTGGACTAGGATGTTCTAGTCTTTATACTCCCACACTTATCAGTCACTGAATGTGTGACATCCTAAGAAAGGGCATGGCCTTGAGGAGGGCGCCTGACTGTACCTGAGGCAATCCCTGAAGAGGCTTGAGAACTGAAGTTTGTCTGCCAAGAGCCTTCATTGCAGCCGGAGCAAGACTGTCTTCACTGAAGGGGAATCTGGGCAGCGCATCCCAGGGTCCAGAACAAATACATTTTACTTTAGAGTAAAATTCTTTGGGGAAAGGAGGACAAAACTGAAGTTTAAGGAGAAAAGGCATGATAATAAAATTCTGACTGAAGAATGCATTCCTATATTTTTCAAATGGTTGACATTGAATAATAAATCAGTGTAGTGTGTGTATTCCTTTGGATACATACAAAAATTGATGTAAAATTGCTTCTAAAAATGTTAATACTTATAATATGCTGGAAATTGCATTTGTTATACATCAACTTAAAATTGATAAGCAATTTTAGATGTCAAGTAAATGTATGAGAGAGTACATTGCTTTTCAAAATTAATTTAGGGACTAGGTGAGGAAAAAGATGAAGAACACTGGTCTAATCTAACAGGTCATTTTGCAAATGAGAATATCGAGACACAGAGATGTTTTAAGACTTGCACACCGTCATACTAATAATATGAATCCAGACCCACAAAGCCATTAAAAATTACCTGACCTCTCTTCCTTACCTGGTGGTTGTAGAGAGTCATTAAGCTACTATTTGTGAATGTACTTCTAAAAGAATAAAGCTCTCATTGAGTTTCTTAACCTAGGGAGCCTAGCCCCTTCAAATTGTATGTGGCAAAATGTATATTCGTATACATTTGGGGGGGAACACTTCTATACTGTTAGAGTCACTATAGAGGAGATATATAAACAAACCTTACTGTTAAGTTCATACGTCTCTAACCCAGCCAATTGCCATAATTCAAGTTCTCCCATGAATCTCTTATGCGAGACTCATGCTTTTCTGATCCCATTGCACGCTCATGCATCTTCCTTCATTCAAAGATGCGAAGCCGTAGTCATGCAGGGAAACCTCCTTGCATTAAACCTTTCTTGTTCTAAATCATTCCTGATCTCAACAGGGTGATCTAGTGTATGTTAATTATGCCCGGATTGAAGACTTCTTTAAACTAGAGAGGGACATGAAAATCAATTGCTCTGGGAAGATTGTGATTGCCAGATATGGGAAAATTTTCAGAGGAAATAAGGTAAATGTCATTTCTTTTTCCTTGTCTCCAAATATAAAAAATTATGTCATATCTTACATGTGTAGAAATGTATCATTAAAACTATCTGAGGACCATGATCCTCTCATATTCTATAACGTGAATAGAAGACACAGGTACCAACTTATAGATAGGGGTTTTACTTTGGGTCATTAGAGTTTGGGCCAGTGATGAAGTTCAGAGAGAACAGAGCAGACTCTTCCATATTTACAAATCATGCTTGTGGTTGACAAAGAAGCATGCATGGGATATTTTATTACCATCATATCTTTGTTTTAAACATTCTTTGAAAATATTTACCAAATTAAATTTTAATAGAAATTGTTGTTATAGGGAATCAGAGAAACCAACTTATTATCCATAGCAGCTTTTAAGAATTACTGTCGCTTTGATCTGCAAATTTTTTTCCTCTTTTGTGAGAAATTAAATTTCAAAAATATCCCCTTACAGATTAAAAGATAGAGAAATCTGGCTTGTGGGGTCCACTTGCTTCCTGTGCTTCTAAACTAGTGCAAGAAAACAGCAAGTACTCACTATCACTATTACAGGCATTTTCCAAATCTGTTGCTGTGGGGGCTGATCTAGCCTTAGAAACCCATTTTTAGAACTTGAAGTAGTAAAAAGCAAAAGCCAGTTCTCTGTGAGATGTCCTTTGTTGTACATCTAATGATAAAAGGTTGAAAATAAAGTTTAAATGTAATTTCAAAAAAGCTGAAATTATCAATTTTGGAACAACCAGCCTGAAACAAGAAAGACATTGTGCTTTTCCAGATTAAAAATGCCCAGCTGGCAGGGGCCAAAGGAGTCATTCTGTATTCAGATCCTGCTGATTACTTTGCTCCTGGGGTGAAGTCCTATCCAGACGGTTGGAATCTACCTGGTGGCGGTGTCCAGCGTGGAAATATCTTAAATCTTAATGGTGTAGGGGACCCTCTCACACCTGGCTACCCAGCAAATGGTGAGTGATAAGGCCTTAATTGTCATAGGAAACTTAAAAACATGCTTAAGTGATTTTATGAAAGGATTTCCAGACAAAGTATGTCTTTTTCAAATTCTCTGTGCATCGAAGAATTAAGTTAAAGAGTTTCAGGCTCTGAAAATTATTGCCTTAGGTCCCTGATGTCTTCTTATTTGGAACCCTTGGGCCTGATGGGTTTTGGAAATCAGACATTTTCTGATATTTAGAAGTAAAGTAATATGAGGCATTTATTGCATAACACCCAGGAGGCTGGGATGGAATCCAGAGAGCAGACATATAAATAACTTTTGCAGCAAAATATATGAATACTCATCCTCAGCAGAAGTAAATAATAAATGATAAAAATTAAATAAATAGCCACATGTCCTCTCAAATTAGAGTTGGATGTCAAATGAGTTTGCATCAGATCAGGTTTTGATGCCACATAAATTCCTTCCAAATTTATGGTTTTTACAGTTTTTGGATTTCCTAATTGTGGATAAGGGATAGCAGACAAGAAGTTTTACAAATCCCCAAAATGCATATTTAAAATATAGAGTCCAGAAAATGCTTGTTGCATCTTTGTTCTGTAAACACGATAGTGGTCACTTTCTGCAAGTGTTTCCTGAATGACAGCTCTTACACATATCCATAACCCTAGAAGCTTCCGAGTACTATTGCCAGTACTTGACAGAAGAGAAAAGTAACCACTGCAGCACTACTGAGGGGTTGGGATCTACTTCTTCCCTTTAAGACTGTAAATCCTTACCAAAGGGAGCCAGTTCATTTTGAATGTACTCAGCTATTTGATGACATTTACAAAACTCTGTGATCATTTCGTTTGTGTGATTTAAAACCAGCTAAGGTGTATAACTTGTATAAAATAGGTCACCAAAGTATATGTGTCATTTTCATATTTATTCTTCATCTGGTTTTTCTCTCAAATTGTAAGCTTTAAAGCTTATGTATTTAGGCTTTATGAATCTTCTTGGAACGTAGTACAATGTCATAGATTTTTTTAAGCAATAAAATTATCCTATAATAAAATCACATAAATATACCTGAACTTCACTTACTTCTGCTTTTTATTCCCAAGTTTAAAAAAATGCAGCTTCTCTTAATTTCTGTTTTACAAAGCTAATATGATGAACATAAAATGAACTTACCTGGAATATTTCTGTTGATTATCCTCAAATTTAAATGATAGTATTTCCCTATGGGTCTTGTATTTATTGAATTTACTTTTGTGCCCTATTCTTTTTCTTCTTTCCCTTTTAGTTCTACTTTTTATTCTGGAATAGTTCTAAAATACACAAACAGATAATTATGAACATTTTGTCAGTCTCATTTCATCACTTTATCTTGCCTTTTTAATTGTTACTTTGGAAAATTTTTAAATAAATCCCATATAATGTATCGTTATGTCATTTTACTCATAAAATGAATATGCTTTTGCAATCACCTACAGTTCTTGTTAGATAATTTAAAAATTTGGAGAAAAAACTGGAAAAAATAACTCCTATTTTTTAATCTGAAGAAATGACAGAATGTTTTTATTTTGAAGTAGAGCTTATATGTGATAAAATACACAGATTGTAAGACTGGAGTTCAATGAAAATTTTAAATTGCATATATCTATGTCACTCAAAATAAGATATAGGACATTTTCATGACTCCAGAAAGTTCTCTTGTACTCCTTTCTGGTCAACCAAAACAGCTTGGTTTTGAACTTCATATACAAGGACTCAGTGAGTATTTTTTTTATAGCTCGCTGTTTTTATTCAGTATAATGATTTGAGATCTCGCCATGTTATTGTGTGTCATAGTAGTTTGGTTTTTTAATTGCTGAGTGGAATTCTATTGTGTGACTGGGCTACCGATTGTTTATTCAAGCTGCTGTTGACAGACATCTGCACTGTGTCCTGTGTTTAACTGCCCAAATTCAGCTACTGTGAACAATTTTGTGCAGGTCTTTTTTGTGGAGATATATTTTCCTCCTTCTTGGGTAAGTACCTAGAAGTAATTGCTGTGTCATAGTGCACAATTCTGTTTAACCTTACTTTTCCAAAGAGTGATCCAAAGTGATTATGATTTTACACGCTTGCACGGAATGTATGAGAGCTTAAGTTGCTCCACATACCCGCTAACATTTGAAATTATCTTTTTATTCTAACAGTTCTAGTAGATGCAATTAAAAAAATGTGTTTAATGGGATTTACAGAAAAACTTTTGAAAGGGACTGAATTTGTACTAAAGCATGTCCAACTTTTTTCAGAATACGCTTATAGACGTAGAATCACAGAAGCTGTTGGTCTTCCAAGTATTCCTGTTCATCCAGTTGGATACTATGATGCACAGAAGTTCCTGGAGTAAGTGTGTAAGAAACGAGCAGATGGCTCTTTGGATAATTCTCTTTATGGGCAGTCTCGACTATGGGCAATATTAACATCTGAGTATTTCTCCACTATTCAGAAATACTGAAATTCTCTTAGATGGTGGAACCTACAATTTTACCACTATTTTAAAGAATAGTGGTTATTTTCTGGAATTTATATAGTGGTATCTGATGTGTGACAGTCATGAGAATGACTTTCAGTTTCCAGCTGCAGGGGGCATGACTGATCAATGGCCTTAGCGACTGTGCTTTGAGATCCATAACCCAGTTGGTGTCAAGGCCATGCTTCCTCCTGGTGCTCCCAGTCAGTGAATAGTTGCAGCAGGGACACTAAAACAGGCCCATTACTGGGAGGCACAAGACTCTTCTCATGGGAGACTTTGGCTCAGGATTCTATGACAGGCTCGCCCAACTAGACAATGCCACCCATGACCTTTAACTTCCTTCCTTTTCTCCTTTACCTCATATGAGACCTGCATTGCAGTCTACTGGCTTTTTCAGCCTTCCCTCACACCCTTCCTATTTCTCTCACAGCCTTTTCCCCTAATAAATCTCTTACTCATCTAACCTTCCATATTGTCTAGTACTTGGATAACTTGGAATAACATACTGGGAAAGCGATTCCTTGTTATTTTTATCTCTATTCCTCTTCCCTCTCTACTTTCCTGACATTGGAACCCTCTCCCCTTTTCTGCCCTGCTGTCTCTCATCTGCATGTCCCTTGTCCATCATCCTTCAGGAGGGAGAGGACATGACTTCTCTGAAAGTAGAATTGTTAGAGAAGCATCTGGCCAGTTAGTACCTTTTCTTAATTGAGTTTTAAGCATTCTTAATCATTTTATTCTAGTCTCTATAAGAAAACTTCTTATGACCTAATACAATGCCCTCCTTTTTTACAGTTGAGGAGGTTAATTTTCAGAGAAATGGAAGGATCTGTCCCATTTAAGGGCAGATTAAGAAACAGCACCCTTGTCTCTTTTATTTAAAGGCTCTTAGCTTTTACAACATGGGTTATGATTCAGGATCCAGACACAACTTTTGAGGGCACAATGGATAATGCATTTGTCTAAACATATTTATAAATCAAGTCAAATATTTGTGATATTTAAAAGATGAAAGTGATTGTAACATTACATGTAATATTGGAAAAATGTCAGTAACACTTATCTTTAATAATTGGTAAGTAGTCAAATACATCACTGGCTATGATAATGCATAGAACCATTAAAATATAGGTTGTACAAGAATATTTAATGTTATGGAAACATGCTTATGCTATATATACTACTAAGTGAAAATGGCAGATTTATCTATATATCTAGGTATCTATGGAAATATCTATATATAGATATGCAGATATGTAAAGACAGAATAATCTCAATTATGTTAGTTTTTAAAAAGTGAACCTGTATTATCTTTGCAATTAGAAAAATAATGCATGGAAGGAAAGATCATATGGAATTGATTTGAAGTGTATGTAACCAAGTTTACCATTTGGCTGCTCTGAATAAATAAGTAGGTCAGCATCAGCTGGGTCCTGAATGTGTATTAGAATTACTTGATCAGAAAAAAATCACAAATGCAGTTTATCCCTAATGTATTTAAGTCAAGTTCTCTAAGCTATCTTGTAAATACAATCACCATTTAATAACATAATTTCTATGGAAAAGTGAATTTTGCACTAAAAACACCATAATTTAAAAGAACTTAGGAAACACAATCTACTTAGAAGTAGGAGATGATCTTTATCTATTAAAAGCAATAAGACAGCTCCTATTTCATCTTTCATACTTTCTTTTTTTTTTTTCAATGTTTTATTTATTTCTAGGAGAGAGAGAGAGAGAGACAGCGTGAGCAGGGGAGGGTCAGAGAGAGAGGGAGTCACAGACTGAAACAGGCTCCAGGCTCTGAGCTGGCAGTCAGCACAGAGCCCGACGCGGGGCTCGAACCCACGAACCGCGAGATCACGACCTAAGCGAAAGTCGGACGCTTAACTGACTAAGCCACCCAGGTGCCCCTCATCTTTCATACTTTCTAAGATATATGAAACATTCTATATGATTGCCATTTAGTCATAATTTTTTTTCAAAGAACGTATTGTTTGTTTATGAATTTCACTATGAAAATGTACTCCTGCTGCACACTTAGGAGTATGCTAGTTATCCCTGATAGTCAATTCTCAGATGCCCACAAATGGTTACCCGTTTAGCAATATGTATTAATTAGAAAAGAACTGGCAACATCATAAAATGAAAGTTTCTTAAATGTGTGTGAAGACGGGAAGAGATATAAAATCACATAATGGCCCAAGAATGCTGAGAATTTCAATGAAAAGTTGATGAGATGTGAAGTGCCTTGGTGGCTCAGTCACTTAAGTGTCTGACTTTTGGTCGCAGCTCAAGCCTTGATTTCACAGTCATGAGTTCAAGCCCTGTGTTGGGCTCCATGCTGGGTGTGAAGCCTACTTAAAAAAAAGAAAAGGCTGATGTGAGTTATAGTAAAGCGAAACCACATTTACTTGGGTAGGAGGGAAAGGAACGGTATAGTTTTTTCTATTCTTCTTTACATCTCTATTGAAGGGAAAGTGATTATATGCTTTTCATTTGCCTCCCTGAGTAATTACCAGGATTATGATAGCAGCACCAGCAATAATAATGACAATAATAATAACAATAGCATCTAGCATGCTATTATTTGTCAATTTCATTGATATTTTATAAGAATCAACTTTTGGTATCATGGATTTTCTCTGTTGTTTTTCTCTTTTATCTACTTAATTATTTTTGTTACAGTCTTTATTGTTTCCTTTCTTATGCTTGATCTGAGTTTAGTTGCTTTCCAGTGTCCATTTTCTTAAGGTGGAAAACTAGTTTATTGAATGATGTCTTTCTCCCTTTTAAATGTAGATGTTTCCAGCTGTACTTTTCCTCCAAGCACTGCTTTAGCTGCATTCCATAGGTTTGGATATGTCGTGTCTGTGTTTTTATTCATCACTAAGTATTTCCTAAATACTCTTGGAATTTTTTCTTTTACCCATTGGTTATTTAGGAGTCAGTTCTTTGATTTCCATGTATTTGCCTATTTCCCAAATTCCCATCTTTTATTGATTGTTAAATTCTTTCCATTGTGCTTGGACTAATAAACAGATTCTATAATTAATAAAAGGGTTGCATGACTTGAGTCTTTTAAATTCATTTAAACTGATTTTATTGCCTAATATATCGTGAAAAAAATGTTCCATATGTGCTTGAGAAGAACACGTTTTCAGCTGTTGTCAGATAGCATGTTCCAGATATGCCACATGACATTTCTGGCTTGCCAACTTCTTCAGCTCCAAGTCTGGGATAGATAAGCCAAAAAAGAAACTGAGGAACTCACCACTTTGTTTTTTCTCATACCCTGAAGTCCCAACCTAGCCTTTGAGAGCCTAATGTTTGGTATTCTGTACACTTATGATCTAGAGAATTTAGCTGTACTTAACTGGAAGAATAAAGTACCTCTCCATCTTTCCAGAAGCAAAGTCTTACTTCTTTTCAAGCTTCTGTCATGGTGCCCTGATCATCTTATAGCCCAGCCAGACAATCACTGCGCATTACACTTGCTCTATACTTTTTTGCATCTGTACCTCTTTATGTCATACTTAGAACCTAGAATGCTCCCCATGTCATCTTCCCATACATATATCTTCACTCATCAGTTAAAATTCAGATAAGTAAAACCTCTAAAACGTTGTTCATGATCCCTTAAGCTAAATAAAGCTATCTTTTGCCTTTAGAAATTTCTCTACCATTTGTCTTGCTTTGTTTTATATTATTGTTGACTTTATATGTATCTTCTTCTAACTTCTGACTAAACTTTTTGGTGGAATGACTGTCACATACATATTTGTGTTCCTTATAACACAGATGTCTTGAGTATATCATGATGTCTTGAACATTGTAGACAATCTTTGCCAAATGTACAAATAAAAAGTAATTTGCTGCAGGATATAGATTTTAAATGCCATGCTGTTTGTATATATTTATTGAACATCTACTATCAAGTCCTTTCAGAGACATTTTCAACATTTACATATATTTCCTGAAATTTGTATGGCTTGCAAGTTTAATATTTAACTTTTTAATTTTCTTGGAATTTATTTTTTATTTATAGAGTGAGGTCAGTACCTAAAGAATGTATATTTAATTATATGTCAGTAACATTTATTGACGAAAACTTCTATTCTCCATAGATCTGTGATATTTCCTGAATTAATACATCCAGTTCTTATATTCAGCTATTATATTCTATTTTGGTCATCTGTTTACTTGTCCTTGTGGTACACTATAATTTCCACCTTATAGTTTATTATTTTGTGGGAATATGGGCTATTTGTTACCTTCCTTATGTAATAATAGACAATTGGTTGTTATTCTTCCTGTTGAAAGTACCTTTTTATATTTTTCATGTTTTTATTTTGAAAAGGAAATATATTTACACAGTTCAGAGTTCAAAGGGGTGTACAGGAAGAGGCTTCCATCTAACTCATTTCCACCTTAAGAGCAATTAGTGTTGTTAACTTACAGTATATAATTACAGAAATATTTTATATATAATCAAGAATAGGTATATGTTTCTTTGCTTGTGCTCTACAACTTTTTATTAATGATTATTTGTGGGGTGAGGGATAGAGGGAGGGAGACAGAGGATCTGAAGTGGACTTTGTGCTAATAGCAGAAAGCCTGATGTGGAGCTCAAACTCATGAACCTGAGCCGAAGTCAGATGTTTAACAGACTGAGCCACTCAGGCACCCCTGTGCTCTACAACTTTTTTACATGCTAAGTACTCTGCTGTTTTGACTGATTATGCTTTCTACCATTGTAATGCCTCTTCATATTACTTGATGCTATCTATGTGAAATTTTAATATAAAAAAAGACAAATAAATTTTATAGTATATTACTTGAAATGATGTTTATTAGCCAAACTCATCAGTGAGATGGGGAAAAAATGAGTAAGCATTTACTCCCTGATAGAGCATTTTAAAACAGAATATTACTTATAATTAGGCCTCCACGAGAATATAGTCTAATCAATTGCTTTATCATTGTGTGTTCAGTAGATTCTAGGTCAAGTGGAACTAGTCACATTTCCTCAAATAGTTAGGCAGGGAACAGCACCTGTGTGTAGGCACAGAACAAAGCAGGAAGCTGTAAAGCATGCTCCTTTGCAAAGCATGCTCCTTTGCAAAGCCTAGAGTGCATGAAATTCTATGATGACAAATAAAGTCATAAAAGATAGATTGATATTTTCCACACTCTTCATTTTCTCTTGAATCATGTTCTTCAATTTGCTGCAACTTAGCAAAGGTACATTTGGTTTCTATGCCCAAACCAAGAATAAGTCAATGCTCTTGAAAGAATAAAGGCAGATATGTTGAAATAAAACCACAAGAACGCCTTCATTCCATAAACACTATCATATTACCTTTTTCAGTCACCTGCTGAGAAATAACCAGGGCTATTGGCATGTACTGACTAGTCTGCTTGAATTTTCCTACCCTTCATTTTTTAATTTTTTATTAAAATTAAATTCATTTTTTAAAAATGTTTATTTCTGAGACAGAGAGAGAGAGAAATACAGACAGAGTGTGAGAGGAGGAGGGGCAGAGAGAGAGGGAGACACAGAATCTGAAGCAGGCTCCAGGCTCTGAGCTGTTAGCACAGACACTGATGCGGGGCCCAAACCCATGAACTGTGAGAACATGACCTGAGCCGAAGTCAGACTTAACCAACTGGGAGCCACCCAGGTGCCTTACTACTTAAAAATTTGCAGGAAGCTTTTAGGGACTGTTGATTGAAGTAAAATCATTTCCTTTGCTCTTCTTCACTCCCCAGTTGACATGAGAGAACTTTTACCTTGTAAAAGATGACCATGTCCATATTTGGGGATGTATTTATCAGTAGAAGAAATAACAAGATGGAAAATCCCAGACCAGAATTTGACATCAGAGGCATTTTAAACTGGCTTTCTATTAGAAACTGGGAACCATGAGTCTGGATTCTTCCAAAATGTTTGACCCTCAGCTATACCACTTACCAGCTGCGTGGCATCAAGCAAGTTACCTATTTCTCTAAGCCTCATGCCCTCATCTTTGAAATGGGAAGTATGGTAGACTCTGCCTCCTAAGAACCCTAGTAGGAGTTAACTGGTATATCCCTGACTCTTGAAGCTATCATGAACAGGCAGTTCAGAATGCAAGCTCACTGACACTGTAACTGATAGCTCCAAAGTTTTTCTTCAGCTAATAATACTTTTTGTGTTCAACAGGAAAATGGGAGGATCAGCACCACCAGACAGCAGCTGGAAAGGAAGCCTCCAAGTGCCCTACAATGTTGGCCCAGGCTTTATTGGAAACTTTTCTACACAGTTAAGAGACTATTTTTGTTGTAACTCTCTTCCAGACAAGGAAAACATTTTTCAAAAATAAAACACCCACAGAGGATGAATGGAAAATAAAATATATCTGGTACCAACAGGAAACAAAACCACAGGTTGTAGAGGGGAATACACCCACATCATTAGTACTGGACAGCTGGACAATGTAATTCTTGCATGTGTACACAGAAATTTTAAAAATGATGTAAGAGTTAAAAAATTGTGGGTGGCAAAGTGTTAACTGGTATTTTCAGAACACGTCCTTTATTTTTGCATTAGAAAAGTCAAGATGCATGTCCATTCTAACAATAAAGTGACCAGAATATACAACGTAATCGGAACTCTCAGAGGAGCAGTGGAACCAGGTAAACTAATCATTTGCTCAGAGAATATTGATCGAGCAATCCTTCTGGGCCGGGTACTGCTCTGAGCTCTGGGAATGCAAGGTGAACAAAGTAAAGTACTTCTTGGCCCTAGTGGAACTTACAAGGACCCAAGATATATAAATTTAAGGTAATTTTGTATTGTGATACATGTTTGAAGAAAAGTAAATGTGGGGCTGGGTTGGTTAGATGCCTGAGGTTAGTAAATGTTAAGTTGTGCATACTTCAATTAAAGGATCCAGGGTGAAAGGTCAGGGAGGGATCATTCTGAGGCCTTTTCTCTGGGTTTTCTGGATTTGTTTACCACATAGTTTGCTTGAGGAAATGTCCTCATGATAACTACAAACATCTATGCGAAAGATAACACTCAGAAAATTAAGGTAACCTTGAATTAATGAATCCTTTACATAGTCTTATTTTCCATTGAAGTTAATGAGATGTATAGACACATGATTTCCATAGAATTTCAGTACCCTACAGATTAGTATATTTTGTAAATAGTCTTACTTCATTGTGTTTCAGTTCCTTAGGAATTAGGGTAATATATTTCTTACTAGCAGGCATACAGTTAAATCACATATTTTTCATAAAAACAGTCAATGCTTTCTTTCAAGGATAAAGAATACTGGCTTACTTCCAGAGGTTACTAAATAATATATAACTGGCAATTTATTGAATCTTACTGAGTACCTGTTTTATGCAAGTTCTGTATTAGGCATTGAGGATAGAGGGGAAAAAATGAAGACATGAGCCAGCGACAAGGAGCCAAATATTCAAACATGGTAAAAGCTTTGTCAGATATGGTAGGATTGCTCTGAAAGCTGGATAGTGGGAGCAATTCTCTCCCCTGTGGAAGCTAGGAAAGGGTCACAGAGGGGGAAATTGTTGATCTGTGTCTTGAAAACTGAACAGGAGTAGGAAGTGGAGAACGTACTATGTGGACACTGTGTTCTCTTACTCTGAAAATACTGGAAGCAAAGTGTTAAGTAGGTAAGAGGAGTGACAGAGAATTCTAAAAAGATATGTATAGAATAATTCCATACTTACTTACCATTACTTATATATTTTTAAGTTTATTTATTGTATATGTGTGTGTGTGTGAGAGAGAGAGAGAGAGAGAGAGAGAGGGAGAGCGTGCAAGTAAGTGGGGGAAGGGCAGAGAGAGAGGAGAGAAAGAACCCCAAGCAGGCTCCACACCATCAGCGCAGAACTGGATGTAGGTGTTGAACTCATAAACCATGAGATCATGACCTGAGTGAAATCAAGAGTTGGACACTTAACCAACTGAGCCTCCTAGGTGCCCCATCACTTATTGAAGTACATTGAAGTATACCTTTGCTTGTTCTATCCATTTTCTTCTTCCATCAAAATCAGACCAAAATAGTACATTTACACAAGTCTTCAGGAACCTTGCTATCTTTCTTTGAGTCATGAGTGCTCTGTGTTTAGATGCTCTTGACTCATTTGCAATTTGCTCTGTTAATTGACCTGGAAAGACAAATAATTTTGCAATGATGCTTCCTAGACAGATATGTCATTCTTGGAGGTCACCGTGACTCATGGGTGTTTGGTGGCATCGACCCTCAGAGTGGAGCAGCTGTTGTTCATGAAATCGTGAGGAGTTTTGGAACACTAAAAAAAGAAGGTAACATAAACAAAGTGAAAAGGTCAACCACTCTGAATCTCAGTTTGGTCCTCTGTAAAGTGTGTAAAATTACCACCTTCTTACAGGTCTGTGAGAAGGATCAACTGACTGGATACGTGCAAATATCAAGTGCTTTGTAATACCTAGTAGCATAGAATAGCTTTCAGTAACTAGTGGCCATATTACTCATGAGGGTTAGATAATTATATTGTTTACTTAGTTTTGCTTATTTATATAATAATGTTTACATTATTGACATTTATAAAATATAATCTGAAATAAGAGAATGATACTGTGAGGGGTCGCTCTTGACAACAAAGAAGGTGGAGACCAGTTTCTTCACAGGAGAGGACAAACCAAAATTAGGTCCTGGGTCAACGTGTCTTGATCAGAGAACTGTGATCAGAGGTTCCGTAGGCCCATCTAGCCTCACACAACAGGTCAAGGGCACCAAGTAAGGGAGGGAATTCAAGCTCCTCTGAGAAGTACTGGCCTCCCTTCCTAATAGGAGTTTCGGAAGTTTGATGTTTGCACTCCCACATCCTCAGGCTTGGTGTGCTCTCCTAAAACTTAGGTTTACGTTCCTAGCACCATTGCTTCAGTCCTTTTAGAATCTTCATATGAAAACAAAAATAACATTTAGTTCAAATGGTTGCTTTTTAAAATAAATCACACAGTGAGAGCAGAAAGTCCACTCTGTTTACTGACCCTGCAAACGAGGATGTGGGGGCTATAAGTGTGAGCCATGTTTTTTAGCAGCAATCACAACCAATGACAAAAATATATTAAGTTGCATGATACTTATTTTCTCAGAGAAGGTGCTTTCACGTATTCGTTGTTTTGAACTCTTAACAACCAGGGAGAAGTTTACTTAGTTATTTCTGTTTTCATTTCACAAATAAGCTAACTAAGTTTTACAGAATTTAGCGTATCACCCACGGTTGTATAGCTAGTGTGTAGCAGAGTCAGAGATCCCAGGTTTAAACTCAAATTTCTGGCTACCAGCCCATGAAACCATGTCTGTCTTTAAAACAAAATGTAAAGGGGCTGTATCTTTTTTTCCCACAAAAATATTTTATATTTTAAGGACACAGAATTGTGAAGACCTAAATTTACATAGCTCATGAATTAGGTAGTAGTTAGCATTAGCACAAAAAAATTCATGATTTTGCAGTAAGATTCCCTATGATAATTACAAAAACATCACAGTGACAATGATAGAGTGTGCCAAGAAAGTGCAATGACGAGGAATAATAATTCATAGAAAATGTGAATATTATTAACAAATTGACAAAAATAAAACACTGGACTCAGCTGTAGGGATACACATTCTTAATAAGCCCAAATGAACTATTTACGGAAATAATGACACACTTTCAGAGCACATATGAAGTGCTGTGTTTGTAAACATGACTCCAGTTAATCTTCCTAACAATCAAGTAGTATCTTCATCTTTACTTTGCTCATTCTGATGTACAGATGAAGAAGGGGAAGCTAAGGAATCTTGCATAACTTCCCCTCGGTCATACTGCTAGTAGGTGAAAGAACCAGGATTTGAATTAAGATCTTTCTTTAACTACAGGGTCAGTGTTTATCACTCCAAGCCATATTACCTCCTTGCTGAGTTATGCTGAATTATTGCAGCAGCCACAGACAGCAGTATTGCTAACTGAGCTTCTGTTGACTAATTCTGGCAAAGAATGGAGTGAAATCACACAAGCAGCTAACATTGAACAATTGCGTGTGTGATGCCAGAACATGGAAGAGTTGTAAGGAATTTTCTCTTGGCTCAATCTGCTCTCAGAACACAGACCACATCTAGCACTTTCTCTTCCATTCCAGGGAGCTGCAGAGCACAGGTGGCTTCCTGCATGTATCCAATCATTATAAGCCAATTAGAATATTATGACCTAGTGGGATTTTTGGTATGTCTACATTTCCCCCTTTTCAGTGCAAATGTGCTTGTTTGTACTGACACATCAGCTTTAACATCTGATAACGTTATGATAATGAAATGATATAAGTAAAAATTCTCACCACAGTTCACTTTTCCTAAACAATCAGTGGAGTTTTAGTGTTGTTTTGCTGTTGAGTTTTACAATGTCTTGGACATATGATGTATTTTTCCCAGCATTTATGTGTATACACATATATTTTAGGGTGGAGACCTAGAAGAACAATTTTGTTTGCAAGCTGGGATGCAGAAGAATTTGGTCTTCTTGGTTCTACTGAGTGGGCAGAGGTTAGTTCATAATTTGCTACAATATAAATTTTCATAATAAACAATTAGGACTCAATTCTCAAGGATGTAAAAATAACAAGTGAATTCAGTGAGAACATATTCAAACTTTTTTCCAGAAAATCTGAAATAACATATCCTTGTCCAAAAGGAAAAATCTCTTTGTCATTAAAAAATGCTTTGTTTGAATTTTAAAGCTACTTAATGTCAATTTTCAAAATAATTTAATCTTCATTTTCTGGGAGTACAGTAGTAAATAAGTAAATTCACTAGAAACCAAACATCAAAATAAGGTATCACACTTCTACTACCCTTTGCAAATTAACTACTAAAGCTAACTGCATTAAAATACCTCCTTGAGTTTATACAGTAAGGTATACTTTTGACATTTATGTTCCTTATATCTTAATGACTGACTCTAAATTAAATCATGCTAAAAATGAGGTAGAAAGTCTCACTGCAAAATATTTGATAGGCCCCCTTAAAAGTAAATGTCCCTTTATGCAGAAGATGTTATACACAAACCAAATGGTCATCACAAACCAGAAACCAGTAGTAGCTATGCAAAAAATAGAGGACGGAATCCAAGTATATCACTAAAGAAAGGTAACTAACCATGAGAGAAGAGAGCAAAGGAAGAGAGGAACAGAGAAAAACTATAAAAACAGCCATAAACAAGTAACAAGTTGGCAATAAGTTACATCCCTATCAATAATTACTTTAATGTAAATGGGCTAAACACTCCAATCTAAAAACATAGGGTGATGGAATGGATTAAAAAACAAGACCCATCTACATGCTGCCTACAAGAGGCTTATTTTAGACCTAAAGATATATGCAGATCAAAAGTGAAGGATGGAAAATATTTATGCAAATAGATGTGAAAAGATATCTGGGGTAGTAATACTTACAGTGGACAAAGTAGACTTTAAAACAAAGACTGTGATAAGAAACAGAGAAGGATGCTATATAATCACAAATGATACAGTTATAAGAAAATGTAACAATTGTAAATATTTATGTGCCCAACATGGAAGCACCCAAATACATAAAGCAGTTAATAACATACATAAAGGAACTAATTGATAGTAATACAATACTAGTAGGAGACACCCCATTTACATCAGTGGATAGATAATCCAAACAGAAAATCAAAAAGGAAACAGGGGCTTTGAATGACACATTGGACCAGATGGATCTAACAGATATATTCAGAACATTCTATTCTAAAACAACAGAATACATGTTCTTTTCAAGTGTACATGGAACATTCTCTAGAATAGATCATATATTAGGCCACAAAAAAATCTTCAACAAATTCCAAAAGATCAAAGGCATACCATGCATCTTCTCTGACCACAATGCTATAAAACTAGAAATCGATCACAAGAAAAAAATCTGGAAAGAGCACAAAATGTGGAGGTTAAACAACATGCCACTAAACAATGAATGGGTCAACCAATAAATCAAAGGAGAAATTATAAAAACACATGGAGACAGATGACAATGAAAATGCAGTGGTCCAAAATCTTTGGGATATAGCAAAAGCTATTATAAGAGGGAAGTTTATAGCAATATAGGCCTAAAGCAAGAAGCAAGAGAAATCTCAAACAACCTAACCTTACAAGTAAAGGAGCTAGAAAAAAGAACAAACAAGAACAAACAAAATACAAAATCAGTAGAAGGAAGGGAATAATAAAGATTAGAGCCGAAATAAAATAGAAACTAAAAAAATAATAGAACAGATCAATGAAACCACCAGCTAGTTCTTTGAAAAGATCAGTAAAGTTGGTAAACCTTTAGCTAGACTCATCAAAAAGAGGGGGATGGGGATGGACTCAAACAAAATCAGAAATGAAAGAGGATAAAAAACAACCAGCACCATAGAAATACACAAGATTATGAGAGGGTATTATGAAAAATGTTATGTGCCAACAAATTGGACAATCTAGAAGAAATAGATGAATTTTTATGAACATATAATTTACCAAAACTGAATCAGGAAGAAATAGAAAGTTTGAACAGAGAGATTACCAGCAGTGAAATTGAATCAGTAATCAAAATATTCCCGACAAACCAAAGTGCAGGACCAGATGGCTTTACAAGTAAATTCTACCAAAAATTTTTTAAAAACCCTCAAATACCTATTCTTTTCAAACTATTCCAAAAATAGAAGAAGAAAGAAGAAAGAAACTTTTATTCACATATAATTTACCAAAACTGAATCAGGAAGAAATAGAAAATTTCAATAGATCGATTACCAGCAATGAGATTGAATCAGTAATCAAAATATTCCTAACAAACCAAAGTGCAGGACCACTTGCTTTACAAGTGAATTCTACCAAAAATTGAAAATAAAAACAAATACCTATTCTTTTCAAACTAATCCAAAAATAGAAGAAGAAGAAGAAACATTTGTTATATGAGGCCAACATTGATCTGATACCTAGACTAGATAAAGACACTATACAAAAAGAGAACTACAAGTCAATATCTCTAATGAACATAGATGCAAAAATCCTCAACAAAATGGTAGCTAACTGAATACAACAGTACATTTAAAAAATCATTCACCATGATTAAGTGGGTATTATTCCTGTGTGGTATAATGTTTGCAAATCAATCAATGTGATACATCATATCACTAAGAGAATGGATAAAAAACGTATCATTTCAACAGATGCAGAAAAGCATTTGACAAAATACAACACCCATTGATGATGAAAACCCTCAAAAAAGAAGGAACCTACCTCAACATAATAAAGGCCATATATGAAAATCCACAGCTGACCTCATACTCAATAGTGAAAATCTGAGACCTTTTTTCACCTAAGGTCAGGAAGAAAACAAGGAGGTGTCACCACTTTTATTCAGCGTGATACTGGAAGTCCTAGCCACAGGAATTGGACGAGAAAAAGGAATCAAAGGCATCCAAATTGGTAAGGAAGAAGCAAAACCTTCACTATTTGCAGATTACAGTATCATATATATAGGAAACCCTAAATTCCACAATCCACCCCCACTTAAAAAAAATCCTACTAGGACTTACAAATGAATTCAGTAATGTTTCAGGAAACAAAATCAGTATACAGAAATCCACTGCATTTCTATACATGAATAATGAAGCAGAAAGAGAAATTAAGAAAACAATCCCATTTACAATTGTAGCAAGAATAATAAAATGCCTAGCAATAAACTTAATCACAGAGGTGAAAGACCTGTACTCTGAAAACTATAAAACATTTATTAAGGAAATTAAAGATGACACAAACAAATGGAAATATATTCCGTGCTCATAGATTGGGAGAATAAATATTGTTGAAATGTCCATACTGCCAAAAGCAATCTACTGGTTGGACGCAATTCCAATCCGTATACCAACAGGTTTTTTAACAAAACTAGAACAAACAATTCTAAAATTTGTATGAAACCACAAAAGGCCCCAAATGGCCAAAACAATCTTGAATAAGAAAAAGCTGGAGGTATCAAAACTCTAGATTTTAAGTTATAATGCAAACCTGTAGTAATCCAAACAGTATGGCACTGGCACAAAAGTAGACACATAGATCAGTAGAATAGAATAGGATGCCCAGAAACAAACCCACAATTACATGGCCAGTTAGTCTTTGACAAAGAAGGAAAGAATATGCAGTGGGAAAAAGACAGTCTCTTCAACAAGTGGTGTTGGAAACACTGGACAGAAACATGTAAAAGAATAAAACTGGGCCTCTTTTTTACATCATACCCAAAAATAAACCCAAAGTGGAATAAAGAGCTAAATGTGACCTGAAGCCATAAAAATCCTAAAAGAGAGAACAGGCAGTACTTTCTATTACACTGGCCATAACAACATTTTTCTACATATGGCTCCTGAAGCAAAGGAAACAAAAGCAAAAATAAATATTGAGATTACATCAAAATAAAAACCTTCTAAGCAGCAAAGGAAACCATGACTGATACTAAAAGATGACCTACTGAATGGAAGAAGATATTTGCAAATGACTTATCTGAAAGGGTTAGTATCCAAAATATATATTTAAAAAAACTGGTATAACTCAACACACAAAAAAAACACAAGTTATCTGATAAAAAAAAAAATAAGTAGAAGACAGTCATTCTCCCAAGAAGACATAAAGATGGCCAACAGACAAATGAAAAGGTGCTCAACATCACTAATCATCAGAGAGATGGAAATCAAAACCATGAAGTATCACCTCACACCTGATAGAATGGCTAAAATCAAAAGTGTTGGCGAGCTGGGGAGAAAAAGGAACCTTATGCACTGTTGGTGGAAATGTAAACTGGTGCAGCCACTGTGGAAAACAGTACTGAGGTTACTCAAAAAATTGAAAATAGAACTACCCTATGATCTACTAATTCTGCTACTGGGTAGTTACCCAAAGAATACAAAAAACACTAATTCAAAAAGATTAATGCACTCTATGTTTATAGTAGCATTATTTACAATAGCCAGATTATAGAAGCAGCCCAAGTGCCCATTAATGGATGGATAAACAAGATGTAATACATACATACATACATATATATACATATATACACACACAGACATATATATATATGTAATGGAATATTATTAAGCCATAAAAAAGAACAAAATCCTGCCATTTGCAACAGCATGGTTAGATCCAGAGAGTATAATGCTAAGTTAAATAAATCAGTCAGAGAAAGACAAATACCATATGATTTCACTCATATGTGAAATTTAAGAAACAAAACTAACAAGCAAAGAGGGAATAAAGAGAGAGACAAACAAAGAAACGGACTTAACTGTAGTGAACAAACTGGTGGCTGCCAGAGGGGAGGGGAGTGGCGGGATGTGTGAAATAGGTGAAGGGGATTTAAAATTACACTTATCATGTGATGAGCACTGAATAATGTATAGAATTGTGAATCACTATATTATACACCTGAAACCAATATAACACTGTATGTTAACTATACCAGATTTTAAATTTTAAATAAATTAATTTTACTTGCATACATTGCTGGCCTTGTGGAATAGAAGCATTAGCTGTAAATATATGCAAACTTAAACTTTATCTCATTTACTTTCAGTCATGCTGTAAACCATATTTGGCTCCTATTATATACTCTCGGAATTAGGAGAAGTCCTGTAAACTTCAGTTTTCTTTGGGAAAAACAAAAGAAGTAGTGTTCCTAAAGATAGGAAAGATTTATGGTGGCATCCAGAAGAGCCTAAGTATTTTGAGGTTTATTTATCTCCTTCAATTATTTTCCCCACCTAAAGTTGCAAATCTTTTCCACTTTCTTTCTTACTGTCAGGATGCATGGGAAATTGCATGTTTTTGAGATTCAAATCCACTTAATAGCTCAAAAAAATTTTGCTGCACTTTATGTCAGCATTTTAAAGTTATGCTATGATCAGTTGTGACCAGTAGGTGGTGCGATCCTACTGGAGAACTTCATGCTTTCCAGTATAGACCTCACAGTTTTAACCCATAAATTGAGATAGTTCATTCCCTGAGAATTGGTCAATAATCTCTATTTAAATTTTTAAAAAATCATTTTTTCCACTCAGAGTTTCTTCCTTAGGTCATTCATGTTTGCTAAGAGAATTTCTTAAAGATAAACTATGTATGGTTAAGCAATCAACTCCTTTTCTATTTACTATATTAAGAGGACAGACAGGTTCATCTTACACTTTAGTCTTAAAAATATTTTGCCCGTTATTTATTAGCAATAGTCCTTACTTAAATTCCTTCAAGTATACTCACTTTCAGAATCTTACATATCAATTTTGTAGTCAGCTTAGTTCAGAAATCTGCACATGGCAAATATAAAGATACATTGTTTTAGGGGAGCTTATGGTATATATTTGTGCTTTTCTTTCTTTTTTATTGTAGGAGAATTCCAGACTTCTTCAAGAGCGTGGTGTGGCTTATATTAATGCAGATTCTTCTATTGAAGGTGAATATCATTGGTCTTGTAGGAAAAGATGTGATCATGGTAGTAGCAGCCATTTAGTTAATAAATTACACACTAATAAGGAAGGCAAATCCATTACATGTGTTTAGGGACTTCGTTGCTGGTGTGTCTGGTTTCTGCCCTTGCTTTACAGCAGCTATGAGACCTAGAGTGCTTATTTAGGAAAGCAGCCCTCTCTGACTTGCTTCACCTGGCAGATTACCTTGTCTGCGCTAGGCACTGTAAATATCTGTTAAATGAATGAGCAAATCATAGAAAAGAAGATTTCTGGTTAAATGAATAAGTAAATCATAGAACTGAAAATTTCTGGATTTTAGAATGTGGTAGCAAAAAAACTATAATTTGAATATAATCCTAGTTTTATCATATCATATGGATGGATATATTTTATAAGAAATTACTGATGTCCAAGTATATTTTTTCTTAAATATTTTTTTCTCCAATTGAAGAAGTAGTTATTGAGCCCTTCTCTATGCAATGTATTTTCCAGTATTTCAAAGGAATCAGAAGTTAGTAAGGAAAATTCTTGCCCTTGGGAGTTTGTGGCTCAGTAGGAATGATGGAATTAATTAGTGTAGGATTCTAATATATTCAGATACTGCAAAAAGGCTTTTCTGGGAGTTCAGAGGAGAGAAAACTCTAACAAGTTCAGTGAAGGCTTGAGAAATAGATAGACACTCAAGATCGGCCTTTAAGAACGGATTTGCTTTTAATAAGCAGAGATTCAATCCAAAGGACATTCTCAGGTCTGTTTCCAAGATCAAACAGTCCATTGTCACTACCTTCCACATCCAATCATCCTTCTGTTCCTGACCACATGCAGCTGCTGTTCTCTGTACTAGGATGACCGTTCCACACACACACTCTACCTGTTTAATTCTTACCCTTACAGCCTCCCCTGAATTGTTACTTATTCAGGGAAGCCATGTCTGTAGCATTCCTCACTGCCATTATTAAACAATTATTTACTTTACAGACTACTTCTGTTACTAGGCGACATTCTTCAGCAAGGAGCAGACAGGATCTTGCCTGGTAACTCCTGGTTTCCTAATGTCTTGTTAAAGACATATGTGTTGCATGGGTGCAGCAAATGAATGAGTAAATGAAGAGTAGACTTTGAGAATCTTTTCTGTAGTATATTGATAAACTTTTCATATCCACAATAGACCAGTGCCTTTTGAGAGGCATGTTGGCATTTACATTTCTTCTTTGTCCAGGTGTCTGAGTTATATCATCCCCAAGGTGGGTCACACTGCAGTTCAGTAATCCTTTCCCCCAACTCTTAAGGTCATGATGAAGGGTGTGGCCTTATTTCTGGCACAGCCACTTCCTAGTTGTGTGACCAATGTTACTTACATTCTGTGTCTCAGTTTTCTCAGCTCTAAATAGAGTTGTCAAGAGCACGTACCTCAAAGGCTCTTGGAAGGGCAAAAGAGGTTAATATTTGCAAAACTCCCAGACCTGTGCCTTGCACAGGGTAAAAGTTCAAAAATAGTAGCTTGGAACTATTACCTTTACTTAAAAACACATGATAGGATGAAATCCCTTTGCTACACATAATAAATATGTAACCATATATTTCTCAAAAGCAGAATAATGTTCTCTTTCTTGCTAGCTTTTTTGCAAGATTTGATTTTTAATGTATATTTTTAAATCATCGGAATTTGCTGATTCACTTTCCTGCCTTAAAATGCTGCATGGTCTCCCCATCATTTTCAAGACCCAGAGCAAATGATACACATGTTACCTCAAGATTGGACACCATTTATCTTAATTTGTTTTACATTTAAAATTTTATTAAATATGCCTTTTTACAATAACACAATAAGTGATACATTTGCTTTCTCATGTTAAAATGCAAAATTCACAAACAAAGCAATAAACTTTACAAATATCAAACTCAGCCCTCTCTCCGAAGGTACTACTGTTCTCTGCTTAAGGTGTTTCCATCACACTGACATTCATATATAAAACTCAGTTCACACAACCTATCAATGGTGTCGAAGGTGCTCTCTTAAGTGCTTTGCATGTAAAAATATATTTAATACTCACAGTCATCTGCTGAGGTTAGTGCTTTATTATTTCCCTTGTGTAGAAGAGGTAACTGTGAATTCAGGGGGATTAAGTAATTTTCCCAAGGTCACACAGCTAGTAAAGGATTGAACTGAAACTCACATCACACTGGTCAACTTTATCCTTCTTACCACTATATTCTGTTGCTCCTCACTACCTTATACAGGTTTTCATTACATATTACGTCTCACATGCTAAATGGTTCTGCATCTCGCCTTTTTCATTCAACAGCATTCTATGGAAGACTTCCCATGTCAGTGTATATAGATCTATTTCATTTGAAAATTAAACTTCTACAGTGTATTCAACAGAACAAATTATGTCTCAATCCTCCAGCTGATGGTCAGATTTTTTCCATTTGTTGTGGTCAATATCTTTTTTATTTGCCTGTCTTGCATTTTTCTATACAAGTCAAGAATGAAGAACTACAGTATCATTACTTGGTCATGGTATATGTGTAATACATTGTCAGAAATGCTGCCAGACTATCTCTCTGACCCTTTGGTTTACACTCTTACTAGCTCTTTATCTGTTTTCATAATTACAATGGCTAAAATTTGTGCATATTTCTTCTTCCAGTTGAATTTTATTTTATTTTAATTTTTTTAATGTTTATTTACTTTTGAGAGAGAGAGAGAGCATGAGGAGGGGAGGGCAGAGAGAGAGGGAGACACAGAATCCGAAGCAGCTCCGCTGTTAGCATGGAGCCCAACACGGGCTTGAACTTGTGAACCCATGACCTGAGCTGAAGTTGGATGCTCAACCGACTGAGCCACCCAGGCGCCCCATCAGTTGAATTTTAGAACTAGACCTTCAAGTTCCATGAACAGTTCTGCTGGGGTGTCTATTTATTTATTTATTTATTTTTTTTTTTCTAGGAGAGAGAGAGAGACAGCATGAGCAGGGGAGGGTCATAGAGAGAGGGAGTCACAGACTGAAACAGGCTCCAGGCTCTTAGCTGGCAGTCAGCACAGAGCCCGACGCTGGGCTCTAACCCACGAACCGCGTGATCATGACCTAAGCGAAAGTCGGACGCTTAACCGACTAAGCCACCCAGGCACCCCTTATTTTTAAGGCCTCAACTTTTGCCATTCCTATACATGGATCTTAAGCTTTGAGAGAAGAGTTTCTGGCCATTCTCTGAGTACCTCATGTACTTTTCTATTCCTGGCCATTTGTACAGGCTATTCTTTGATGAAGTTGTCTTAATTTCCCCTTCCCCAGGCCCCATCCTGTTCTAGCCTCCCCTCACTGTGCTCCCACACCTACCTGAGGGCACCTCTCCTGGCTGGTTTGCATGATTCTCAAGCTCGTCAGACATAGAATTCCTGAGAAACAGAAACACTATCTCCTCTCTCTATTCACAACTAGCTGGAGAGCACCTCCTTACAAATGCATTTTCACAACAAATATTTATTGGGTAAATGCTAAACACCAGGGCTGTGTTAAGCCCCGGGGATAGGGCAACAAATAAAAAAGAATACCTGTTCCCATGGAACTTAGAGTCTGGTGTGAGGATGACAAATAAAAAGGCAAATATTTAACATGCTTGGTAGGTAACTAATGAGAAAAATAAGCCAAAGTCAAGAGAGAGTGGCTAGGATGAAGGGAAGAGAGGATGCTCCTTTAGTAGGGTATTCAAGGGACAGCTCTCGGAAAGCATGACATTAGACTAGAGGTCTAAGTGAAGTGGGGGAATTTTAAGTCATGGAGATGTAATGCAGAATGCTGTTCCAGGCTGAGGGAACAGTGTGTGCAAAGACCCTGAGAAGGTGCCTGCTTGGGTAGAGTGGGATGTGAAGATTTGGAGAGGTGATGGGAGTTGTTTCTTGTATGGAACCAAGGACCAGGGTAAGTATAATGAGTTTTATTGAGTAATGAGTTGGAGAGTTTGGATTGGACTTAGGTTCTAAAAGGATCTTTCTGGGAAAAAAGTTAAGATTGGTCTTTGAGTCAAAGACTGAAGTAAATGAAATAAAAAACCATTCTCTTTATCTTTAAGGGAACTATACTCTGAGAGTTGATTGCTCCCCACTGATGTACAGCTTGGTATACAACCTAACAAAGGAGGTAAAAATAATTACGTATCATTTTAGAAAACTTGAGCTCTACAAATGATGTTTCACTGAGGTACCATTATTATGTTAAGCAGCTGCCTTGTTTTATAATATGTGTTTTTCTCATAGAGCAAATACCCACTCCTGAGAACATTGCATGTCATAAACTGTTTATACGTATTACCCCGTTTCCCCCAACTGCCCTGAAGTAGCCTTTGGATAGCATTGCGTCTACCATCCCCATATGAAACTGAGAACACTGAGATCAAAAAGCATTAGCCACCGAAGTCACAACACTTGTGTAGTAGCTGAGCCAGGACTTACTTGGTCCTGTGGTTTAAGTCCTTAATTTTAAAACTGCTTTATACTCCTTCATATCACAATACCAGTTAGCCCAGGATGCAGGAAGAGTTAAAATTTCTAAGTGATTGAGAAAGACTATGTGTAAAAACACCCAAGAATGGACTCCATGGCCAAGTCAATTTGAGGCAGAGGCTAAGTGAGACCGTGTACCCCCTTCCTGAATTCCTGACTTGAACTGCGGTCCACTGAGCCCCCCTGATCTGGGCTGATTGCTAAAGTTGTCTTAGTTCTGTCAGTGGCACAAGGTACGGAACCTGCTGGAGAGACAGTGCCTGAATTCCCGTAGGGCTGACAGGCAACTCTTCCCTTTAGTGGTCCTGCTACCGGACGGTCCCAATGTTAGTCATAATGAAGAAGTTGTTGCTTGGAAGATTTTTGTTGTTCCTGCTAAGTATCTGATTTAAACTGGAAAGGAAAAAAAAAAGAGTTGCCTATTTAATGGAATTACCAATTGGAGTATAAATACCAAGAAAAACACAATTATTGCCCTTCAGATAGGGATTTTAAGTAAGATTTAAATATCACTAACCTTTGGTTTCAAAAGCATGGAATTTCATCTTATAACTTAACTTCCCCTATAGGAATAGAAGCAAATTACTTTGAGAAAATGTATTCATGTCGATACTCAAGAGCTGCATCATTTGCCTGTACTTTTTTTCAATTTCTATGAAATGTATAAAAATTTAAGTACCTGAAAACAGGGTATTTCAGAGAAATTTCAACATTCATGTAATTTAAGGCAAATGCTGAGGAAGCTTGGGAGCTATATATGTTTTCTGGGTGGTTTGGTGGCACCCAGGGACAATTGCAAAAACAGTACTCTAAGTCAGATTCCAGATTATGTGATGCTTGCCAGTTTGCAGTCTGATACTATGTTTTGTTTATTTGGAGAGAGGGATTTATAGCATTTTAAATTTTAGTGATGAACTGAGAATTTAGTCATGTTTTTCGACACTACTCTAAATTTGTATTTCTTTTTAAATGTTTATTTTTGAGAGAAACAGAGAGACAGAGTTTGACTACGGGAGGGGCAGAAAAGAGACACAGAATCCAAAGCAGGCTCCAGGCTCTGAGCTGTCAGCACAGAGCCCTAGGAGGAGCTCAAACCCACCAAACGTGGGATCATGACCTGAGCCAAAGTCGGACGCTTAACCTCTAAATTTGCATTTCTCAGAATAAATGGAGTGGTGCAAATTATATCAAATAAGTAGCCCTTGTATCAAAATTTTGTGTAAATGTATAAGCTTGAGTGAAATTATTTTACTACTTTATTTATTCGTATTTTGCAAGTTAAGATGTTGACATAATTTCTGACTCTCTCCCCATGCTTGTGCAGATTTTTTTAGGTTCCCATAGACCTTTGCGCATACCTCTCATATAGCACTTAGCACATTGAATTCCACATTTTTACTTATAGTTCCCACGAGTACAAAGTATGTAATGTGTCTTTTTGAGCTTTGTTTCCCTGGCATTCACAAGTCTTAAACAACATAGGTACTCTATCAATTTTTAAAAATCGAATTTGTTAAAAAACAGAGCATAGGGTTTTTATTAAATATAAATTAAAAACATTGTGTGCCATATAATGTATAATAAATAACCTGTGAATAACTATGGAACATTAATTGAAGGTTAGTTTGTGAAATGTTTTTGGGATAACATCTAATGCTCTAGATGTCAAGAATAGGTCTAGGATTCAATAATAGGTCATATTTTCCTCCCTTAGTTTTCTCATCAGTCAAACCAGAAACCAGTAAAACCAGTATTTAATGAAATAACAGTAAATACTCAATTAATTAAATAAAATATCAATGCATTTGTTTTTATTATGTATTATTTAATGACCTTTAGCGACCTTACTGGCTAGAGACAATATTAAAAGAAATACCTTCTCTTCACCACCTTACTTCCTTTCACTTTCTTTTTTTATAAGAGAAGTCTGTTTTTGAGAGCAGCCTTCATGCATTAGAAAAAAATAGACCCAAAAAAACTTACAATAGGACCATTCCTTTGAATATAATGGCTTGGTAATAATTAGGCCTTCTTTTCCATACACTTCATGTGAGTTTTTATAGTGGCCCCACTTATAAATAATAGCATGAGCATTTTCCCATATTGTTAAAAACTCATTATTGTAATTCTTAATGACTGCTAATAATATGAATTGCGTTGCTTGTTTTGCTGAGTATAGTTTATCTATTCATTCCCTGGCTGATGGACATTTTTATTTTAAAATATCTGATTTGTAAGTATTCTCTTTTTTCCCTTTTAACCTGCGTAGCTCCAAAGCCCCGATGAAGGCTTTGAAGGCAAATCTCTTTTTGAGAGCTGGAATGGAAAAAGTCCTTCACCTGAGTTCAGTGGTGTGCCCAGGTAAACATGCAAACAAGAGTTGCTAGTGGATACAGTATGGGGTTGTGTTGAAAATGAAAGTATACTTCCTTTCAATGATAAAGAAAAGGCAATGCTTTGGTTCACAAATAAAATATTATGTGTTTTGGTGTTAAATCTGTAGGCCATGAAACAATGGTTCTTTTTTGAGTAGGCAATATATATACATGATACACAAGTCAAAAGTATGATAGAAAGTAATTCCCCTAACATTTCTGTCCCTAGTTACTCGATACATTTTCTCTTTTCTGAACATCATACAGTTAACAATTATTTTGGTTACTCTAGGAAAACCATAGACATCATTTCAGTATTGGTTGTGTCTTCACAAGCAAGATTACAGGACTAAATATCTCAGAGATAAAGATCGATTAGAGATGAGATTATAACTTTAAAGAGTATGAATAATTTAAAAATGTTAAGGGTAAGATTTGCATCTAAGTTATCTAAAAAAAATCTCTGCTTCTTTTACGTTTATCATGGACAACAAATACAGGTAATCAAATAAGTTAATGAGGGGAAATATTTTTCAATGTAATGAATCTTGTTATTTTATTTTATTATTTTTTAATGAATCTGTTTAAAAAATAGCTTACATAGTTGTGATATTGTGATTTATAATAAGAAGTACATATTCAATCTTTGGCCACTTTTCTGGCACAGATAACTCCCTAAATCTTTAGAATTTTCTAAGTGATGAAAGAGACAAGGGTGTTCTCTTGTTATGTTAACAAGGTGACCTTTGGACCCCCATCTAAGGATGAGGGCTGAGGGCCAGGTGGACAGCTGCATAGTTAGAGGATTGGGACTTTCAGTCCCACCCCAGGAGCAGAGGTGAATCAATCTGCAATGGGCAATGATTTAATCAACCATGGCTTTGTAATGAAACTTCCATAAAAACCCAAAAAGATAGGGTTCAGAGAGCTTCCACACTGAGTGGCATACACGGGGAGGGCATGGAGAGCTCTGTGCCCTTTCACCACATCTCGCCCCATGCATCTCCTTCACCTGGCTGTTCCCAAGTTATATCCTTTTATACCAGTGATATATCCTTTATACCAGTGATCTGATCAAGTAAATAAAATGTTTCTCTGAGTTCTGGGAACAGCTCTAGCAAATTAATCGAACCCAAGGAGGGGAACTAGGGAATCTCTAATCTGTAGCGCGTTGTTGAGAAACACACATATCCACCTGGGTTTGTGTTCAGCTTCTGAAGTCAGTGGAGGGGCAGTCTTTTTCCACATGTTGGAATTGGGTCCAGGAACCCAAAAGAACGATGGTCACTACTACCCAAAACAGCCTTATGGAAGTAGATACTTCATGATCAGAATTGCTATTCCTCTCAAATATTTTGTTTCTGTTACTTGTCTAACATGATTTTTATAAATAAAAATTACATTTAAAGTAGTAAGAATGGAGTTTAATAAGTCTTTAACCTGTACTCACTGAAGAAATAACTCAAATAATTTCATGTTTTATCCCTATAAGGATTAGCAAGTTGGGATCTGGTAATGATTTTGAGGTGTTCTTCCAAAGACTCGGAATTGCTTCAGGCAGAGCACGGTACACTAAAAATTGGGTAAGTCTATCAATAAGCTTTTCAGGGTTATTTATGAATGTACTTTAGCTAAATAAATAATTCTGAATTTTGAAAAGCAAGTTAAGCAGTAGAGAAATAGAGGAATTGAAGCACACGTGGTTGAGATGGTGCTGCTACTACTACCTGGGGTAGTTCCTACATCTGGTATCCTGAGCTTTAGAACTTGAATTTTGATGTACTCCCTTAAATATATTTTCTGTTTCATTAGATGGCATTGCTTTCATGTAGTTACTTATGCTAGAAATGCAGAAATTGTCTTTGATTCCTCTACACCTGTTATCATTTAAAAGTACTTAATATCAAGACCTGCAAATATTTGGATTTTTATCTCATTAGATCCCCAGTCATTAAACATGGAAGTTGATTTATCACAATAGATTATCATAGTGAAAGGCACAATAAACCATGAACACCTATACAATTCCTAATTTTTTTGGCTACCGATGTTGCTGATGAAGATAATGACACTTTTATAGTTTTTATTTTTATCAAGGAAACATAGGAACATAGTTCATAAACTGTCATACACTCTGTAAGAGTGTGTAATGAAAAACAGTAACAAATTGAGATATTTTCAACTTTTTGTTTTATTCTGATATCTATCTGCATGCTTATAAATAATTTGCTCATGCTGCTATTTCTTTATTTTTCACTTTTGTGTATATCTGTTTTCTTCTCATTAGGGAAGATGGACATTTAGCTCTTTTTTATCACTTCTTCCAGCTCCCAAATACTTTCCCTCGTTGCATTTTCTCAGTATATACTTGTACTACACTTGATTAGAATATCTTTTTATCCTCCATGTATCCATAACTGATTCACCACAACTTTTACTATATTTAAAAACATCAGGTGATCTAGCAGATTTCATTTTCCCCCTTGGGATCTTCTCCTGTTCCTCTGAATTCTCTGCCTGTTCTCTCTACCTGTGGCATAGCTCTTGCCTGTGAAATTTTCCTTCAGTGAGAAATCTGAGAGCATCTTCATTTCTCTCCTGTTTGGCATCTTCTCTTTCCTGGATTTTGTATCTTCCTTTTTCTTGTTTACTCTTTACTGTTTTTGGAATATATCCTTCAGGAACTTCATGAAAAGGGTGTATGAAATCTAAAGCCCTTGCATGTCTGAAATACATTTAAACTACACACTATTCTTTGGCAGTTTGCCTGGGCACAATGCTTTTGGTTGAAAATCCTATATCATCAGAATTTTGAACTCATTACTCAATGTCTTCCAGCCTTCAGGATTGCTGTTGAGAAATTTGGTGCTATTTGATCCCTGATCCCTTGGATTTTTTTCTTTATCGAAGTATAATTGGAATTCTATATTCTATTAGTTTCACGTTTGCATTATAGTGATTCACTATTTTTATACATTACAAAATGATCCCCACAATATATCTAGTTACCATCTATCAATATACAAAGTTGTTGCAATATTATTCACTGTATTCCCTGCACTGTACTTTATGTCTCCATGACTTACTTATTTTACAACTGGAAATTTGTACTTGGTATTTCCCTTAAATACCATAAAAAGCTGATTGAAGTCCTGTATACGGGGTGGCACTTGTCGAATGGGAAGCTTCTGAGAAGAGTGATCGAGAATGCCTATTCTGGTTGCATCATGGGAAGGCAACAACTCTGAGAATCTATAGGTCTTTTCTCTTGGACTATTCTCCCCAGACAGGAAATCTTTAATCTGGTCTTTGGGGTAGGAAGTTAGGAAAGGTTCGATGGGGGTGGTGATGAGAGTAGATGTTAATATTATCTACATTTTACCTATGAGAAAATTACAGTAAAGAAAGACTAATAGGGGCGCCTGGGTGGCTTAGTCGGTTAAACGTCCGACTTTCGCTTAGGTCATGATCTCGCGGTTCGTGGGTTCCGGCCCCGCGTCGGGCTCTGTACCGACTGCCAGCTCAGAGCCTGGAGCCTGTTTCAGTCTGTGACTCCCTCTCTCTCTGACCCTCCCCTGCTCATGCTGTCTCTCTCTCTCTCTCCTAGAAATAAATAAAACATTATATATGTATATATAAAAAAAGAAAGACTAATAATCTTTGGGTTAATAAACACTCAAAAGTTATTTCGTAATAGGTCCTAAAACCTGGACTCAAACTCTCCAATTTTAGAGTCTTAGCCTCTTCAACACACCGCTGTATAAAGTGCTCTTCTATATCAGTAAAAAAAGGAGCAACTAAAATAATAAGCAGCTAAATAAAGCAGTCAAAAGCATAAATCAGCAATTCTAAGTTGGAAAAGTCCTTCCCTCTTGCCTCTTGTGTATTTTCTTACCTATGTCTGAGCATTCCTTCTCTCTCCTGAGTGAGACTCTGGATCCATTACTGAATTCGCTATGTGGAGTTTTCACACTTCTGCACATTGCTTGTCAGATCAGAGAATTATCTGTTCATGGAATTTCAGTCATTAACAATTTGCAGCATTGCCCTATATGACATTATATAATACTTATTTACTTGCCTCTACCAATTCTCTGTCTTCTTAAATTATTTGTACTGAAATGCAACATTAATCTTGTCTTCGTTTCAACAACACTTTCACATATCCTGTGTTCTTGAAGGCAAGACTGTTAGGTCTTTCCAAATAATGTTTATGTTATCATTTATGTTACATACACAGTTTTTATTAAAAAGATTTTTTTTTTATGTTTATTTTTGAGAAAGAGAGTGAGTGGAGGAGGGGCAGAGAGAGAGGGAGACACAGAATCTGAAGCAGGCTCCTAGCTCTGAGCTGTTAGCACAGACCCCGATATGGGGCTTGAACCATGAACCGTGCTGAAGTCGGACACTTAACTAACTGAGTCACCCAGGCGCCCCACACATATTTTTTAATTAGTAAAATCCTGGGGTGTGTTTTAATATTATAATGCTAACCTTTTAGTAAGTGGCTTTATTAAGGCACTGAAATACTTTTCTTTACTCATTACTGACCAAAACAGTTTTACTAATATTAATAGTAAATGTGATATTGGGGCGCCTGGGTGGCTTAGTCGGTTAAGCGTCCGACTTTCGCTTAGGTCATGATCTCGCGGTTCGTGGGTTCGAGCCCCGCGTCGGGCTCTGTGCTGACTGCCAGCTCAGAGCCTGGAGCCTGTTTCAGTCTGTGACTCCCTCTCTCTCTGACCCTCCCCTGCTCACGCTGTCTCTCTCTCTCTCTCTCCTAGAAATAAATAAAACATTAAAAAAAAAATTAAAAAAAAATAGTAAATGTGATACCATGCATTTTATTATAAGCTATCTTACGAGAGAAATATTTTGTGGGATTTTTTTTTTTTTTGTAGGCAACAAACAAATTCAGGAGCTATCCACTGTATCACAGTGTCTACGAAACATATGAATTGGTAGAGAAGTTTTATGATCCAGCTTTTAAATATCACCTCACTGTGGCCCAGGTTCGAGGAGGGATGGTATTTGAACTAGCCGATTCCATAGTGCTCCCATTTGACTGTCAAGATTATGCTACAGTTTTAAGAAACTATGCTGACAAAATCTACAATATTTCAATGAAACATCCACAAGAAATGAAAACGTACAGTGTGTCATTTGGTATGCTGCACTTCCTCTTTCAGAATTCATTATCTGTGGGTTTTATTTAATCTCTAAAATACAATGACCTACTTTAGTCCATTTATTGATTATTGCCATTCCATGGGATCAGATACATTCTTTATGTCTGTAAAGTGTTTTCCCTTTCATTGACGCTCATCTTGTAATATTTAAATATAAATATGGTGTAGAATGCAAAAGAAGACAGCTTCCTATATTGTTCCCTTTGCATAAGCCATACAACAATGCCATTAGGTCCTGATTTCTATTTCAGATTCACTTTTTTCTGCTGTGAAGAATTTTACGGAAATTGCTTCTAAGTTCAGTGAGAGACTTCAAGACGTGAACAAAAATAAGTATGTTCTACATTTTTAAGTTATGCATATAATAGATACAATTTAATAACCTTGTTCAACTATTCAAAATTGGATACATTTTCAATGATATCCAATCATTCTTACTACAATAACACACTCCTCCTTTGGAATATGAATTCTATGAAAGCAGGAAGTATCTGATCATTGATAACAGCAGGCATTCAAATCTTGTTAAAAGAATAAACAACATTTCTTGTGTTCATGATGGTTTATCTTTAATAACAATATAAACATTAGCTGTCATTTGGTAAAATATGTATAATTTTCCAGACACCTTACATTAACATTAATAGACTATCCTTTTTTACTTCTTTGCTTGGAAACTTATCCTTCTCTCCATGAGCTATCCCATTCAATATTGAAATGACTGCTTTGAGTAGATTCCTAGGATACTAAGATGAAAAAAGTCTTACCTATTTTTAAATACCGAGGTTTGTCAATTCATTATTACTTCAAGATAAATAAAAATTTCTGTCATCTTTTCAATTGGCAAGTATAACTTTATGTGCTTTTACAAGCTCCAGGAGAATAGTATTTTATAGGTTTCTTTAAATGTAAGTGTGTATGCTATTCTTAATTTGCATATCATAGGAATTTAGGATATATTGTGTTTAGTTTTGTTCTAAATTTTATTAATTTTTTTTTAAGTTTATTTACTTATTTTGAGAGACAGAGAGTGTGAGCCAGGGAGGGGCACAGGAGAGGGGAGAGAGAGAATCCCAAACAGGCTCTGTGTCATCAACACAGAACCTGATGTGGACCTCTATCTCATGAATGGTGAGATTGTGACCTGAGCTGAAATCAGTAGTTGGATGCTTAATTTACTGAGCTACCCAGGCATTCCTGTTTTGTTCTGAATTTTCAGTTTTCTGTGTAGTGTGCACATTTTCATGAAGTGACAACTGTATTCATTTTCTTTTTTAGCCCAATATCATTGAGAATTATGAATGATCAACTGATGTTTTTGGAACGAGCATTTATTGATCCTTTAGGATTACCAGACAGGCCTTTCTATAGGTAAGGATACAAATATGACTCTTGACTATATCATTCTGTCTTAGTTTTTGCATTGTGGAAAAATATAGCTGATTTCTTTCAGGCAAAGAGAAAATTTAAAATATATATAGCAAATGATAAATATATTATTTCCTCATATAATGTAATATGATGGCTACATAACTTTCTTTTTAATATTTTTACCTCTGATTATAAAAGAATATATGTTCATTGTAGGAAATTTAGAAGATTCACAAAGTCACAAGTGGGAAGTAAAAATCTCCCCAATTCCATCAGTTAGTTTATGCTTGTATACTGATTTAGATAATTTTAGCCCCTCTCTCATTTTAAATATATTTGTGTTTATGTATGTATATAAGACATAATAAATATATGTGAAATGTAATAAATATATATTTATTTACTCTCCTAATGTTCACATTTTTTTGCTAATTCTTGATAATTGTAATTATTTCTGATACACATCAGTGGCAAACATTAGATTGATCCTACTAAAAGCTGCAGAATGAATTAGATCACTGACTAGCAAGAAATAGCTCCACCTTTCTGTTTATGGATTATTAAAGGATCAGAACTGAGCATGATCTAAATATGGTGACTGGTTTCCCAATGGTAGTATGATTGTGCCTCTTTCCTTCTTTACCTCTGTGCTTGGGAACTTAGCCTTCCCTTCATGGACTATTACATGAACTAGCATAGGTCTTGTCTTGTCTTTTCTTTAAGCTTTTTTTTTTTTTAATTTATTTTGAGACAGGCAGAGGCAATATGAGTAGGGGAGAGGCAGAGAGAGAGAAAGAGAGAGAGAATTCCAAGCAGGCTCTGTGCTGCCAGCTGCATAGAGCCCAATGTGGGACTCGAGCTCATGAAACTGTGAGAATATGACCTGAGCCAAAACCAAGAGTTGGATGATTTACCTACTGAGCCACTCAGGTGCCCTGACATAGGTCTTTCAATAAAACATCACCTTCTCCCTAGGTCATGTTAAATTTAACAACGTTGTTTTTAATAATTCTTCATAATTTAAGGTAGGCATTCTAACATGTTAGTGTGTCATCTTTTTTAAAGAGAAAAACACAGTAGTAGGTTGGCAGGTCATGAATAGGACTTTAATAATCACCACTGTGCTACATTTCAGGGGGTAAAGTGGGATAGTGAAAGGTCAGTACTTATTTGCAATGTAACTTGAGCCTGACCACTTAATCTCTCATATCTCAATTTCTTCCTTTTGGAAATACTAAAGTCAACTTTGTAGAATTTTTTTTCAAGGGTTAGAAAAATTATACGCAAATTATTCAATATCAGGCATGATCCATAGTAGGTGCCAAGCTATTATGGCTCCTGTTATTTTTGTTGCTATGAACCATGTAAAGTCATCTGTTTAAAGTCAAAACATAATTAGATAAATGTTTTGTATCCAAGATATATAAACAACTTTATAATCCGATTAGAATGGACAGAAGACATGAGTAGACATTTTTCCAAAGGAGACATACAGATGGACAAAAAACACATGAAAAGATGCTCAGGGCACCTGGGTGGCTCAGTTGGTTAAGTGTCTAACTCTTGATTTCCACCCACATCATGATCTCACAGTTTGTGCATTCCCACTCTCTTTCTCTCTCAAAACCAAATACATAAACATGTTTTAAAAAGAAGTAAAAAAAAAAAAAAGCGCAACATCACTGATCATCAAAGAAATGCAAATCAAAACTACAATGAGATATCACCTCACACTTGTCAGAATGGCTAAAATCAACAATGCAAGAAACAGGTGTTGGCGAGGATGTGGGGAAAAGGGAACCCTCTTACATTTTTGACAGGAATGCAAACTGGTACAGTCACTCTGGACAACAGTATGGAGTTTCCTCAAAAAGTTAAAAATAGAACTACCCTACAATCCAGTAAACGCACTACTACGTATTTACCCAAAGAATAAAAAAAAAAAAAACTAATTCAAAGGTATACATGCATCTCAGTATTTATAGCAGCATTATCTACAGTAGGCAAACTATGAAAACAGCCCAAATGTCTATCAACTGATGAATAAATAAAGAAGTGTTACGTATATACAATGGAATACTACTCAGCCATAAAAAAGAATGAAATCTCGGGCTGCCTCGGTAACTCAGTCAGTTAAGCGTCTGACTTTGACACAGGTCATGATCTCAACAGTCCGTGAGTTTAAGCTCTGCATTGGGCTCTGTGCTGACAGCTCAGAGTCTGGAGCCTGCTTCAGATTCTGTGTCTCCCTCTCTTTCTGACCCTGCCCGCTTGTGCTCCATTTCTCTCTCTCTCCCTCTCTTTCTCAAAAATAAATAAACATCAAAAAAAAAGAGAATGAAATCTTGCCATTTGGTATAATGTGAATGGAGCTAGAAAATATTATGCAAAGTGAAATAAGTCCATCAGAGAAAGACAAATGCCATATAATTTCACTCATGTGGAATTTAATAACAAAACAAATGTGCATAGGGAAAAAAGAGAGAGAGAGGCAAAACAGAAATCAGACTCTTTTCTTTTAAAATTTTTTTTAAATCTTTTATTTATTTCTAGGAGAGAGAGAGACAGCGTGAGCAGGGGAGAGTCAGAGAGAGAGGGAGTCACAGACTGAAACAGGCTCCAGGCTCTGAGCTGGCAGTCAGCACAGAGCCCGACGTGGGGCTCGAACCCACGAACCGCGANTCACAGACTGAAACAGGCTCCAGGCTCTGAGCTGGCAGTCAGCACAGAGCCCGACGTGGGGCTCGAACCCACGAACCGCGAGATCATGACCCAAGCGAAAGTCGGACGCTTAACCGACTAAGCCACCCAGGCACCCCCAGACTCTTTTCTTTTAAAGTTTATTTATTTATTTTTGAGAGAGAGAGTGAGCTTAAGCGGAGTAGGGGCAGAGAGAGGGAGAAAGAGAATACCAAGGAGGCTGTCAGTGCAGGGCTCAACACAGGGCTTGATCTCATAGACACGGAGAAATCTCATGATATCCTGAGTGGAAGTCAGGAGTAGGATGCTTAACCAACTGGGCCAACCAGGTGCCCCTAGACTCTTAACTATAGAGAGCAAACTGATGGTTAACAGAAGGGAGAGTTGGGAGTGGGTGAAGTAGGTGAAGGGGATTAAGAGGACATGTATCACGATGAGTACTGAGTAATGTATAGAATTGTTGAGTTACTCACTACATTATTCCCCTGAATAATAACACTGCATGTTAACTAACTTGAATTTAAATAAAAATGTAAACAAAATGTCAAAACATAATTAATTAATACATACTTCATAGACTGGTCTTTGGAGATGACTAAACTTGGAAGTTTGACTGATGAGTGGCTTATTCATATCATAAAATTAGAATTGTGCAGTCCAGCGTTTGTAGAGCACTCCTGTTTTTCTCTTGTGTGTATCATTTGGACAACTGATAGATAGCACACTGTCTTTATCAACAGGCATGTCGTCTATGCTCCAAGCAGTCACAACAAGTATGCAGGGGAGTCGTTCCCAGGAATCTATGATGCTCTGTTTGATATTGAAAGCAAAACGGATCCTTCCAAGGCCTGGGGGGAAGTGAAGAGACAGATCGCAATTGCAGCCTTCACAGTGCAAGCTGCAGCAGGGACTCTGAGAGAAGTAGCCTAGGTGGTTTTCCAGAGAACCCGTACTGAATATGTAGGTACATCACTCAGAAGGAATCATGATGGTGTATTGATAAATTAAAACATAAAGCTATATAAATGTATATGTACATACATATATATACACATACATCTTAGCATTCTTTCTTCTTCTCCCTATGATCAAAAAAAGAAAGATGGACAACTTTTATTCTATAATAATAGAAGGTTAGGGGCACCTGGGTGGCTCAGTCAGTTAAGGGTCCGACTTCGGCTCAGGTCATGATCTCATGGTTTGTGAGCTCGAGCCTCATGCCTCGCTTTGTGCTGACAGCGCAGAGCCTGCCTGGGATTCCCTCTCTCCATCTCTCTGCCTCTCCCCGACTTGCTCTCTCTCTCTCAAAATAAATAGATAAAAATAATAATATAAGGTTATTCTGAGTTTGAACTAAGTGTTAAAATTAAGGCAATGCCTACTATATTAAAACACCTATGTGACATTATCAGAGATTCAAGTCTAATTCAACACTGGTGTTGGCTCCACTGGCCACGCAGGGCTGAGAGAGCACTATTTTAGTATACTAGGTGAGCAGCTCTGATTTAATCACACTGCTGGTAAACATAGTCACTCTGTACCAGAAAGGATAATTACTTTTGTTAAATTAGCAATTATTTTATTTATATCAAAGGGTATATGTAACATATGTATAGTGAAAAATAATAAAGAAATGAACCTTTATAGAACTGCCCACCACAAATAGTCAGATTAAGAAAAGGAGCATTACCAATATCTTTGAGTCCCCCATGTGCACTGACCAGTATGCCTTCAACTTCTGCCGGAGATACTTTCTTGAATCTTATGTGAGTTTTTTCTGTTATTCATAATTATACCACACATGGTATAACCCTTATGTGTTTTGGCTTTGTGTATTTTTTAATTGTTTATAAATAAAATCATACTGTGTATGTATTTTCTAAGACTTGATTTTTTTGTTCACCTTTGAAGGTGCATCCACACATGCGTCATTGTGGCTGTAGTTCACTGATGTAGACCAATGGACTTGCATGAATGCAACATTTATCAGTCAGGGTCCAGTTAACACAAGGAAACCACACAGTAACACAAACAGGGAAAATTAATATAAAGACTGATTTTTTAAACAGACACGTGATAAGATGTTGAACAATACCCACCATCAGGGAAATATAAATCAAAAGTACAATGAGATACCACCTCATACCTATCAGAATGGCTAAAATTAACAATTCAGAAAACAGATGTTGGTGAGGATATGGAGGAATGGGAGCCCTCTTAACACTGTTGGTGGGGATGCAAACGGGTGCAGCCACTCTGGAAAACAGTGTAGAGATTCCTCAAAAAATTAAAAATAGGACTACCCTAGGACCCAGAAACTGCACTACTAAGTATTTGTCCAAAGGACACAAAAATGCTGATTCAAAGGGGCACATGCACCCCAGTGTTTATAGCAGCATTATCAACAATAACCAAATTATGGAAAGAGCCCAAATGTCCGTGGAATGGAATATTACTCAGTGATCAAAAAGAATGAACCGCCATTTGCAACAACATGGATGGAAGTAGAGTGTGTTATGTTAAGCAAAACAAGTCAGTCAGACAAAAAAATAAGTATCATATGATTTAATTCCTATGTGGAATTTAGGAAACAAGATAGGTTGACATAGGGGAAGGGAAGGAAATATAAGATAAAAAGAGAGAGGGAGGCAAACCATAAGAATCTTAAATACAGAGAACAAACTGAGGGTTGCTGGAGGGGTGTTGGGTGAGGGGATGGGCTAAATGGGTGATGGACATTAAGGAGGGTACTTGGGATGAGCACTGGGTGTTATATCTAAGTGATGAATCATTAAATTCTACTCCTGAAATCATTATTACATTATATGTTAACTAACTTGGGATTTAAATAAAATTTTTATAAAAGGATGATTAGTTATAACAACATTGCTGTAAGGAGATACTGTCTAGTAAAAGGTAAAGGGAACTTTAAAGAACATAAGTGTAGCAGACACAAGGAGCAGTCATTATCCCTAGGGCTGAGATGGAGCAGCTAATGAACTTCCCCACCCCACAGGCCTTACCGAACAGCAGAGAAGTCATCATGGGGCTGAGCTCGCAGAACTTGTGAAACTCTCCAGAAACTTGCACTCTCTGCCACTGTGGGAGGCTGATTATAGGGAACTGTCTTGCCAGAGGCACTTCACTAGCAGACCAATCACAGGTGGTTTTAGAAGAAGCTTCTGGCTACTGTGTTCTGGCCACCATGAATGACTAGAAGCAAGTGCTAGAGGAGCAGACTGGACCACAGGACAGGGCACCACATGATGGCAGCACTGGTGAAGCCATGTGTGCTATATGAGCCACATCCTGAAGTCATTTGCATGCAGAAGACTGCCAGATGAGCACATGGGAACCAAGAGGGAAAGCCCCTTCCTGCAAGGTCTCTAGAATGCCTTCTACTGACCAACTTTAACATCATGCCTCTCAGCACAGAAAAAAAAATTTAAAGGATCCAGATATATTTACAAAGAGCAGGCAATGAAGAGTAAGTTTGGAGCAGAGAAGCAATAAATTGGATAGCTGACACAGAACACAATGTATTTGTTCATTTTTCTCCTGGTGGGAATTTAAAATGTTTTCTATCTTTTGCTCCTATAAACATGTCTCCAGATGCAAATATACAAATATACAGAAACATCTTTTCGGACAGCATCTATTTATAAATGAAATGTCTGGGTTGTAAAATGTGTACATTTTCAATTTTTACTGTGAAACTGTTTGAAGTGGTTTTATTTGCCTATGTTCCCAATGGCAAAGTGATCACATTACACAAGAGAATAGAAATAAGAAAGATTGGCAGGTTAGAGAAATACAAAGAATTTAGTGTTATTAGAATCCAAGGAGTGTGTCTATATGCTTAGCATCAGATCATGTTAGGCTTGGGAAGATACACTAAGGACTGTTACTATTTTCTTGTTTAAAAAGGAAAGCTACCTGAGTGGCTCAGTTGGTTGAGCATATGACTTTGGCTCAGGTCATCATCTCGTAGTTTGTAAGTTCAAGCCCCACATCAGGCTCACTGCTGTCAGTACAGAGCCTGCTTCAGATTTTCTGCCCCCTTTCTCTGCCCCTCCCCTACTTTCACTCTCTCAAAAATAAATAAAACCTTTCTAAAAAAGCCATATAGTAATGTTAAACAGGGGAGATATATGTTAAGATTTACATTTTAGGAAGCATTCTGGCCTAGGTATAGGTGGATTGGAAGAGCACTAACACAGCAAGAGATCACAACCTGAACTATTTCTCATTACACTTATGCCATGTAGACCTTCACCCTCAGAATAGACAAGACTTCCCTCTTATCTTTCACATTTCATCTCTTCTGCAAAGATTTCCAGCATGTTCACCCATTCCCTGCTACCTTTACCTCTACCAGTCCTTAGGGACAAGTCTTGATCATTACCATGGCTATGGTCCCTCTACCAGGATGCAGTCTGCTGCAACCACGCATTTGTGAATCGTCAGTAGTGGGCATAGGGACCTATGTCTGAGAGATGATGTGTCTGGCAAATAGTGGGGCTGGAAAGTGCTGTACTCAGCACTAGGATTTCAGCAATGCCTTGTCATGGGATTTGATTGAACATACTAAGGCTTTTATTGATGTCAGGGATACACAGTCAGACCAATACTGTAGGTGATGCCTAGGCCTTGGGACAAGGTGAACACCACCATTCTAAAAAGTGAATAAAAACCCACATAGTCTGAAAGTTATGTGAACTTTCAGTCAAGTTGTAAACGTGCAGTAAGCATCCACCCAAAACATTTTGTGTAGTTGCATGTCTTAAAAACATATTTTGGCTAATAACACATTTAATGTAAATGTCATTAACTGGAGGTTGTACAGGGACAGAAGCACAGCTTTGTGAGACAGATTACTGGGTTCAAACTCTGCTTCTTTCACTTGGAATATGACTATGGCCAAATTATTAAAGCTCTCTTAAGTTTCTTAATCTGTAAAATGGGTGTTAAAAATATTTTATAGGGTTGCTGTAAGGATTAAAAGAGCTGGTACATGCAAAGCACTTAGAACAATGCCCAGCATATAATTAGTAATCAATACATGTTTAATATTGTCATTGGAGTAGTAGAGTATTTCTTAATATGGTAAGGAACATCACTTTTTTTTTCTTCTTTCTTCTGGACAATGATACAGTTGAATTAGAAGATACCTCTTCTAGCTTCCATGCCTAAAATTCTGAATTATTATTTATTCTTTTATATGCATCTTATAATTTGCTTATTGTTTATTTATACCTAGTATAGCTGTAAGGTGTGTTTCACAAAATTGCAGTTACATATTTCTTGTTGAGTATGATTTAAGAATGAGGTGAGGGGCGCCTGGGTGGCTTGGTCAGTTAAGTATCCGACTCTTGATCTCAGCTCATGTGTTGAACTCACAGTCATGAGTTCAAGCCCCATATTGGGCTCTATGCTGGGTGTGGAGCCTACTAAAAAAAAGTGTTCTTTTAAAAAATAATTAAGAGGTGTCTGGGTGGCTCAGTCGGTTAAGTGTCTGAGTTCGCCCCGTGTTGAGTGGTTTCAAGCCCTGCGTCGGGCTCTGTGCTGACAGCCAGCTCAGAGCCTGGAGCCTGCTTCAGATTCTGTGTCTTCCTCTCTCTGTGACCCTCCTCTGCTCATGGTGTCTCTCTCTCTGTCTCTCAGAAATAAATAAAACATTTAAAATTAATTAATTAATTAATTTAAATGAGGTGAATTAACTAACTTTGTGCAAAAGAAATATACCAAATAAATTTTACATTGATCTGGATATTTAATAATGACAAAGTAATATCATTTACCAAGTTATAATGGCATGAAACGATAAAGATGCTATTTACATTTTGGACAGCAATTTCATGACCATACTAAGGCCAATTTTCACTGGTTTATAAAATTGGAAAGACAACGCATCAACTTTAAAAATAAACTGTGTTCTTATGGACTTCCTCAGTGAAGACCTTTGTTTCTCATTTATCTCCTGGGACAATCTCAGAACCATAATGGATTTCATTAGGAGAAGGAAGAGGAGAAGGAAGTATGCATAA